TTACATTCAATAACGAGAGGGTCGTCATGCGGCCCCCTTACCTCTCCTAGATCTTCTTCAGTGATGACAATCTCAGGAAATGTATATTTGGACGGCCGTTCTTGGTGAACGGAATTTACATCTAACCGCCTTATATTATCTTTGTTGCCCCTAATAGTGGGGCCGCCCCTGAGAAGCCGCCTGCAATGGTGTAGACGACTGCATCATCTGTATCGGAGCTGTCGGCCTGTTGATTCTTTTTGGCCGACTGCTTTTTTGAGGAAGTGTTCCCCGTAGATTTCTTGACATAAGTGTCAAGATCACCTTGCTCAGCCAGGCGGTCTAGGTACCGCATAAGACTGATGCAGTCATTGGTGTGATGACCAACGTCATCATGATAAGCACAGATTTTATCTTGGTTCCGGTTGTTTGCAGAACCCTTCATGGGGACCGGCTTCTCAATAGAGATCTGTCCCTTGATTTCTTTTAGGATAAACTGGTATCCTTGTTAAACGCATACTTTGGGGAGTATGGTTTGAATTCTTTTTTCTTTTTCTGGGCCGGCTGTTTAGAGGAATCAGCCGCCCAGACCTCTTTTCTTTTCTCATCTTTGTTAAACGACTGTTTCTGTCGACCTTCTCTTTTGTCGAACCTTTTCCCGTCCGACTGTTTTATCGTACAAAGATCAGTCGCCTGTATATAGGCTTCTGCTTCAATCAAGGCCTCTTGAAGAGTCGCCACCCTTTTTCGAACCAAATCAAATTTGAAGGTAGACCCGTCTTTGAGACCTCTGAAAAAGTCAGTATAAGCTACCTCATCCGGTAACCCTTGAATCTGTATTCTCATCAGGTTAAACCGCCTGATGTAAGAACGAAGCCCCTCCTTCTCGCCCTGCTGAATTGTTCCCAAATCGAGGGTCGTTTTCTTCGCAGGGATGTTCATGGCGAAGTTGGAGGCAAATAAGTAAGCAAGCGTCCTGAAGCTATTTACACAACCAGTCGGCAGGTTGCCGAACCATTGCTGTGCGATTCCTTTGAGAGTCGCGGGGAAACACTTGCACCAAGTGGGATCATCCAACCCTTGAAGGTACATCAGGTTGGTGAATGCCATCAGATGGTCTTCTGGGTTAGTAGTGCCGTCATAGGCGCCTACTAGTACATTTTTCACTTTGGCCGGCTGAGCGGCTTCAGTAATTTCCTTGGAGAAGGCCGACGGCTGTTCACCAAGTCTAAGCAACCGTAGCTGCCAGTCCATAGGTTGGACGTTTTTTGTTGCAGGTCCACCAAATGGAGGTGGCTGCAAAAAATACTGTTGTTGCGGCACAAATGGTAAGTTTGGTACCGCCTGGGCACTATGAAAGCCGGACTGACGGGAGGTGCCGCCTGACTGACTCTCATGGTACGACTGAGTATGCCTCATCGAGGCATTTCGCAAACTGTCTTGAAAGTTTGAAGTAGAGGCCGACTCTGACAATCGGTCACTCTTCTTCTGCTCTAGCAGTAGCCGAGCATCTGTGAATGTTTGCTTCGACCCGTCCGCCTGAATATGACGAACATGTTTCCTATTTCCTGTAGGATAACGGAATTTTGTGAAATCAAGGGCAGGTGGCTCCCGCTTCCTAGATTTAGGATGAGGAGTCGTCTCTCGCCCTTGAACTGGCTTCCTCTTCAGTGAAGTGGAGGGTTTCTTGGCCGACTGCTCCTTGACTGGAGTAGTCGACTTCTTGTTGATCAACTCTTGAATCTCTCCCTTGAAGTCCCTCATGAAGGTCATGAGTTCGTTCCTTGTGATGGAGCAGACCCATCAGTCGGCTGTTGCCGAACAGGCGGTGCGCCTGCTGGCTCGCTTCCTGTTTGAAGATGCTCCCGTTCCCTCCTTTCGGTATGACGGGTACGTCGGGCCCTTAGGGTCCCGTCTGAAGCTGTATGAGCTTCAACTTCAAATTCACTTTCGGTATCATGGTCCGACTGAACTTGAGGGTCGTCTAGGGGACGCCTCTCTTCAGGAGTCGGTACAGACTTGGATGCCATCTCTGAAGTACTCTCCCCACAGACGGCGCCAAATGTTTCGGGGTTTTCTGATGTCCTGCGGGAGAGTTACAATTCCGAGACTGGAACCAGACGCCTGTACCTGCAAAATAACGGAGACTCCTGTGAGCTCCGCCTCCAACGGTCAAGTTAGTAACTGATTAAGGAGTAATTAATACGGAAATTAAAGTGATTAGGTCTCTCTAGGTGAGAGTGATTAGCATAGGTAATCTGCTTTGTTAGCGAGATCAGCCGGTTATTACTGTGTGTAATTAATGTGTTTGTTCCGTAATGTTTTTCGTAAACTTCTTGTCCTCTCCCTTAATGAGGATTAAGGGAGGTATTTATAACCTTGGGAAACGTGCCCATCCTAGGTTTAGGTAAACCTAGGGCCGATTGGGCTTCCCTCGGAAATTGGGCCTGGGTGGCCGGTTTCTCCATTAGGCATGGAGTATGCCACATGTAGTGACATAACAGGTCCAAGGTGGACGAATGAGCGCGTGCCACGTGGCAAGCCCTGACAGTTCCAACTAGGGGACACTTGGCAGGACCTGATTGGTCCACGTGGCGCATTCCGATTGGTGGGAGCAAAATCCCCTAATCAGGTTCCCAAAGGACCTTAATTGGGTCTTGGGAGTCATAAATAGTGTCCAGAACCATCTCATTCATCCTTAGTCATCATGTCTTAAGGGTCTTAGGAGTCGTAAATAATGCCCGAAACCAAATATGCCTTGTCTTAGGGTGCACATGCCACACCCCCCCGACACCATCTAACATCCCAACACTTAGGCTTTGTGACTTGCCTTAATCCCGTACTTAGCAAATTTTGGCATATAAGATGCATCGCTAATTAAACTCGTTTTCCAAAATATAGGTGGTTTTAGGGATTAGGGTAGGGGGCGAATCGAAGCGACATAAGGCCGAATCTCAGTGGATCGTGACAGTAAGATCATTCTGCCACTTACAATACTCCGTCACGTATTTAAGTCGTCTGCAAAATATTCAACCCGCTGCTCAGTAGGAATTGTACTTCAAGGAGGCTCTCACGGAGCAACCTCCGCGCGAGCTTAGCTTATGACATGTGTCCTTGGGGGCCGAAGCCCCTACTGTAGGATGACAATCAGGGAATTCGGGAATTACCTAGTTACATTACATAACATAATATATAAAGGCGAAATCTAGAAGGACATTTGATGACGTTGTATTAAAAATTTTCCCTCCAATAATACTTCTTTTTTTAAAAAAATTATTTTTCTTAGAAAAAAGAATTTTATCTAAATGGTGACATTTGTCTTTTATTTTTATTTATTTATTTATTTATTATTATTATTTATTATTATTATTATTATTATTATTATTATTATTATTATTATTATTATATCTAAACTAAACTTTGTAAAATATATTGAGTCATTATAATTATTTAGCTATTTTTATAATATACTTCATAGGTGTGATAATTAGTCTACTAATGGCCTGTTTTGATCGATTTACTAAAAACAACTGAACTAAACTGATTGGTGGTGAATTGAAATGAATTGTTTATGTTACATTTTTGGCGCACCATTTTCTAATTTCAACTAGCACTATTTGACTAGATACACATACACATGCTAACACACATTTGATTATAAATATATGAAAATGTATATTAGTATGTAAATACTTTGTATTATATAAAGATTGATACTAAAAAAATAGTACATATTAATACTAACATAACAACATTTAACCTAATAATATAGCATTAAAATATGTAAATAGATCAAAATATTATATGAGGGAGCCCAGTTAATCTCCGAGATTAACATTATTCCAAGTTAATCTCCTCTCACAACTTTATGCATATGTTTTCGTGCCACTTTACTATTTCACTTTTATTATTTAAAAAATAAAAGTAAAACAATATATTGTGAGAGGAGATTAACTTTTCATGTCAATCTCAGAGATTGACATCTTAGACGAGTGCATATAGGCATATAACACCTACTTGTATTTATTAGGCACGTATATAGGAGGGCATTTTGGAATTTTTTTTTTTTTTTTCATTTGATGTTTTTCTACGGTATAGTGGTACATTTATGTGTACTATTATGCAGGTATAATGTACAATTAAAGTATAAGTTATCTTTGCATCAAAAAAAAGTATAAGTTATCTTAATATTACTTTTTATGTACTATTATGTACGTAGTGATACTTTTTACCATCACATTTTCTCATAAAATCCCTTTCACCTGGCAATTTATTGGCCCACTTTCATGTGACAAACTTTAACTTAATTTCAACAATGTCATCCTATATGTTAGAAACATATAGGTGCTATGCACTTATAGTTATTCATCTTAGACAAGTCTTAGACAAGTGTTTGATGATAAAATTGCCAAATAGGGCTAATTTTTAACGAAAATAGGTACATCTTTACAATGTGGTGTTGTTGAAAATATGGTCACATGTTTACAAGCGAGCAAGTTCATTTCTAGTAGTAGTAAGTTAGTAACACTTTATAACCCAGTTGTACGTGGTTCAATTAATTTGGGGAAAAGCAATATGCAATAAGAGGGAATTAATTTGAATTCGAGACTCAATCAAATGTATTTCCATTTGGAATTATAAGTATTGATGGGCCTATGGGTGCAACAACCATAAACTAAACTAGATATATTCTTTTCATCAATGAAAATAATAGTAAGTCTATTAGTTCCTAAAAAAAAAAAGTCTATTATTGTCCCGTTTGGATATATTTAGTTCGAGTACGTTATTAGTGAAAAATTATACTATCAATATGATTAGGTATCCAAAGTATTTGCTACATTGATTCATAATAAAGTAAAATAATAGAATATTCAAAGGAAAGAATTCATAAAGTAAAGTAATACGTAGTATACATATGCATTTCACTTGGTATGTTTTATGTCAATAATTAATGTAGCTAAGGTAGCAATTCAATTCATTTCATTTGCATTCATAGTTGCATACTTGCATGTGCAACAATATTGACTAAGTATTGGCGTATTGCCATCAATTCATTACATTCATAAACATTCTCATTACATTGTTGTCCCTCAAACACTTTGGATAAACAAAATATCTTGTATACTAGTAATACTTAATACATCAAAATCTACTAGGTAGTTTCCTACAAAGTTTCTAATAATACCGCTCTTGTCACACTTACACACAATTTATCAATTATTTATAACAAGAAAAAACAAACTACCTATAAGATTTTGAGATGTTAACACGAATAAATTCAAATAAATATATGCTTATAGTATATTTTCGAGGATTTATAGACCAAGATAAGTACTTCTTCCGTCCTTTAATACAAAACCTCTTTCTAGTATTTATTACTCACATAATAAAGAGAAAGAGACTTTTAATTTAAAGACAAAAGGAGTATTAAATAGCTTGGATACATTTTTCACTCTCAACATCTTTTGCTAAGTGGTTTGCCGCAAAGACAAGTATTGTACACAAACGACGACGCTTCTAGGTGATCATATGGAGCTCCTGCTGGTATGGGCCCACAAAGTTGGTTATGACTCAAGTCCAAATGCCCAATGTATGAGGCTGAGGAAATGGACTTGGGTATTGGCCCACTAAACCGGTTATGAGACAAATCCAGAACCATAAAATATGACCTCGGCCCGAAAACATCTGGTATCCGACCCTCTAAGGCGTTCCGGCTCAAGTTACATATACTCACACCCGAATTCAACAAACTCCTTGGTAACTGACCCGATATCATATTACCATCAAGGTTCAATGTTGCCAAAACCGGCATCTTATCGAACATATCGGGTATTTGACCCGATAACCGGTTAAGCGAAAGATCCAAATCCGAAAGGCGATAGATGTTGGATAATGAAACAGGAACAGGCCCACCAAGCATGTTACCACTCAACAAAGCCCGACTCATCATCGTAAGTTTACCCATTTCACTTGGTAATTCACCCGTTAACTTATTGTTTCTCAAGTCCAAGTGCATTAACCGACCCAAATTCACGATCGATGGAGGAATTGAACCTGTAATACTATTATCGGCTAAATTAAGAACCGTAAGCTCCCTTAACCGGCCTATATCACTTGGAATCCGACCTGTGATCCGGTTCCCAATTAGGTCAAGGGTCCGAAGATAAGGGAGCGAGGTGATACACTTAGGGATCTCACCCGAGATCCCTTTCCAATCAGCTATAGTAAGGCTACTAAGCCGGTTTAGGTTGCAAATAGCCGGGGAGATCGACCCGGTCATGAACCCGGTTCGATGAGCCCGCTCAAAAATCGGGTCTTCGGATTCGCCACGTAAGTTGATGTCGGCAACACGATGAATATACGGGTCACAACTCACCCCGTACCAACCGTGGCAGCAATCCGGTCCGGTCCAAGAATTGAAGATACCCAAATACGGTTCATGAAGGGCAGCTTTAATAGACAAAAGTGCTGCCCGGTCTGATGGCGGGCAAGCGTTAATAACCGTAATAACGGTCATTATAACTGCCCAATAACAAAACAAAGCTTTCATGTTTGTTTCTCACTCTACTAGTCTACTGTACTATGTATGAAAATGTGAAGTTGAGTGAAGTGAAGTAGTGAACTAGTGAAGTGAGCTAAAAATGCATAACAGAAGTGTTTCCATATATATATGGGGGAAGATGGAGGGTTATAGGAAATGACTGTTTTGCCCTTTAATCTAGAAATTATGAGGAAGAGATAAGGATAAAATCATAAAAATAAAGATAATAAATGGGATTTTCATTAAAAGAGAGAAAATATAATTGATTTAAAAGAAAGGAGGAAATGAGGTAGAAGGTGGTGAGGCCAAAACCCATGTGAAACTGTGAAAGGTGTTTAATGTTAGGTCCAGAGTTTCAGTGGTTTGGGTCCTGATGTCTTGCAGAATATTAGGGCTGCCCTTAATTTCTGTAGGATTTTTAAGAAAATAAAATTTTCTTTTTTTAATGATAAATTCTAAGTCATGATATTATATTTTACAAGTAAATTCAGTGAATACAAATCTTTGTTCCAATCTAATCAAACAAATGTTTTTAGTCAAATACTACCTTCGTTACATATTATTTGCAACAATTTGATATAAAGTAGAGAGGAAAAATGTCTAATCGTTACAAATAATATGTAACAGAGGTAGTAGAAGAATTTAATTTCACTAATGTGCAAAATCAAGCTCTATTCAAATTTATCTTGATAGAAATAACTACTTGTACTATTAGTAAGGTTTGAATCTTTCCACCTAGATAACGTGTTATGAGTCGAATGACCATTAAGGGTATCATACTTCATGTTTCATAAAAGAGTAAAAATTACAATGCTCACTCAACTGAGCTAATAGAGTAATAGCTAGTAGCCTAGTACGCCCATCAAACAGCTATATTAAAGATTATTTATTGACTGATCATTAAATGAAGTACAGTTGTGTATTAAATGGTACAGTATAACAAACATGTAAGACAATCAACAGGAAACATTCCAGTAAACATGTATAGAAGAACTCTGATAAACATTAAGTGAACATTAATCTCCAGTATAGTTCAATAAGCTTGATTTCGAGCTGATTTAGCAGAAGCCAGGGGCCAATATTGTACCTGTATAATGGTTACAATTATTTTCTTTAGTAAATGTATACATATATATATATTTTTTTTCTTGCCTATAATATGAATATATAGATATTAGTTTTAGTATACTGTTAGTCTGTTACAGAGGAAACAAAATGTTATGGCAAATAATTGATAGAGAGATTCAATCCAGGATCTTCTCTATTATGCATTGAGACAAGGTCTTCCATGTGACTAATATGGGCTTCAATCTATTTTTATACTAAAGATTTAGGATGCCACAGGGTCTCAACCTACCTAAACCTAATACATAGCTCTATCCCCGGCTAGGCGGCCGAAACCATGTCATTTCACTTTGGCTTAATGGTGGCTCACAACCTTAGCTTGAGTTTTTTTGTGGATGTTGAATTGGAATGTGATGCCATTAATGTGGCAAACAAGATAGTAGGAAGAATTTCATTGGAATAAATGCTCAAACATGCTTGTGTACCAAGCTTTACTTTCAATTCCTTTCCAAGTAATCATGGTTGTAGGGCTAGGAATACCATAACTCATTCTTTGGCAAGATATTTAAAAACTCCCTTGACATAACATAGGCTTCACAAGAATCACAACACCTTGAACTCAAAAATAACAATAATCCTGATTTTTCCCTCGAAAAACAAAAAAGGCTTGATCTCGAACTAATAATTGTGATCTCTCAAGAAAACTTATCAGTAGATGCAACTTCTCAAGTATACAAGAACATGGCCATGTTATTTTCAATGGTATTAGCCTAAAATTAGGAAACTAAATGAACAATTACGAAGAACAAAGGGCAATAAAGAATCACATGAATTCTAATCTAACACCAAAATACAAGGGCCTACTGCATTTATCTTCATGTTGTAAGATGAAATGTATAATTCTTAATTCTCCTTCATAACAGTGTAGTAACTGTTATGAGAGTAGCCCCTTTACCATTAATTGCGAATCCTCCACATCAAATAGTTAAAAACAAATCCCTATTTTTTTCACATACAAAAATGTGATCTGTCGAATCATTTCACTGTATAAAAAAGATACATATGGCCCCATAAGGCCAATATCTATGGTTGTGAGACAATCATTCATGCAATCATATGTTCATGTTATTGGGATATCAAGCATATGAATAATTTAGATAATAAAGCAGATCTTGGTTTGAACACAATTTTCAAAAGGGACTTTGAAAATGAGACTCGTGTAAATCCTACTGTTCTTGAGCTATTTTATATGGTGTAAAAAGATCGAGACAATTTGTAAGCGTAGACACTATGATGTACACATAGTTTGATCCAAAGTTTACATGACATTGATATTTTAATGTGTTATATGAAAATTAGGTAAGGTTTAATATATTTTCTCATGTACAAATAAATCTTTAGTAGTTTGTTGTATGGTTATTTTGTATTTCTGTTTAGGGAAGAACATGGAATGTGTGAATAAGGTTGAACATCCCTTCTTGAAGTCTGCTAATTCCACCGACCCAAATTGCTACTTAGATTGAATAGAAAATCCACTCAAGATGTGATGTTGAACCTTATTTGAAAGGTATATTACTAATAGTAACAAGCATAATATTAACTAGACATGGCCAACTCACATGGAAATCCTAATCGTCCAAAAATAGGGGAAAATAAAAATCCTCACATGGGAATCCCTCTTCTATTGTTTCAATTATGGAAGAAGAAATACTGTCGCAATTAACACAAATCTATTTCATCCCCCACCCACAAAAAAAAAAAAAAAAAAAAAAAAAAAAAAAAAAAAAAAAAAAACAGAGGTCATTTTGCTGAAACAAACCTAAGAATAATACTCTTAGCAAAAAGTAAGCATAAAATATGAGGTTTTAATATGTTGTAAAAAAACTTTAATGTTCCTCACTTCCTCATCTTGTTATTGTGAATTACAAGCAAATAAAGCAATTAAGCCTTGTATTATCTACCGTAATATGTAGTATAACAAAGTACACATAATAATCAATCATATCACTATTATTCTTGTAACAGAAACAATGATTCAAATCACCTTAACGGCTTAACCCATCCTAAAAGACAATCTAACAAGCATGTTGCATATAGCATGTTTTTTTTCCCTAGCATAGTTCAGTCTCTTCAATTTACTTCAGGAATCAGGACGCATGTTTGACACTTCATTTTAGACCAAAATACGTATAAATTAGATATATGTTCGTCACAAGTACTCAAGTCTTACTAAGTGAACTAACATAGCTTCCTTCTAAAAACAAGGGTGAATCAACAATCAAGTCATCAACATAGCTTTCCTCCAATTCCAAGAGTTCCAACAGTTTGATTTATGTGGGTTCAAACAGTCTATCTCATGTCATTACCAGGCCCATATTGCAGAATTGACAATTTCATAAGCTGGCGAGTCTATCAGATTCTAAGGCCCAAATTTACAGGACTTCAATTTTGAAAATATACATTACAATCCATCAATTACTACGAGCTCATACAATACAAAGACCACACAATTTATGGGCTGGTCTGGAGTAACTATACAGTTCCAAGGCCCAATGACTAGCACTATCTAATTGTCCAACTCCTACTCCTAGCTCCTCAGTCCTCTCATAGGTAGACACAAACACAAGTTAGCAAAATGTTTACACCTACACCTATGTACGGAGTACTAACAATGCAAAGTCTATGTTTTGGAAGCTACATTGGGAATATACTACCTCCGTTAATTATTACTTGTATGTGCAACTTTTATATCTCACAAATAATACCCCAAAGTTGCACATAATAATTAACGGAGGTTGTACAACTTTGTCTTACGTCTTTCTTTTTAAAGGCAATCTAAGGAAGTATATAATGTAAGCAAGAAGACACTAAGAGACCCTTTGCACGAGGGGAGAACCTTATAGTGTATAAGGTCCATTCAACCTATATATCAAAACAAATAAAATCCGAAAAAAAATATTCTTTTGTTACTTTACCATGGAGGTACAAAATGGACTAGGTATAGTCATAGAATGAAGAGAATGGAGGAAGGGTACAAAATGGACTAGGTATAGAATGAAGTGAATGGAGGAGGATCTTTGTCAAGAGATATACTCATAGTTCATGCAACCGACCTCACATCTTTGAAATCTTTGGGAATAAGGCTATAGCTTTTTGTCTTTTGAATTCTACATTTTACAGGCACACAGGTTTAGGACAAAGAAACAGCAAATCGGAAGTATAACTCAACTGCCTAATATTCCAGAAATCCAGAGTGATAAGATTTCTTAACCCAAAAAAAAAAAAAAAAAAAAAAAAAGAAGTGATCAATCTTGATTAAAGTATCTCCCAATAACCAAGTAATAAGTAGGACGTTGATTTTTTGATGTTTTTGCCCCTCTTTCTAAAAGTAAAATCTCCTAAATTACGAAATATCCTCTTTCACGTATGGCATAATACATGTACGGTGCTGATTTACCAGACCTCGACGGTGGTTTAACATCTTTTGCATTAATATGATGGTCCTCTCATATAAGTCAGGTTCGCAATCAAACACTTCAAATCATGCCAAATATCCCATAAAATATCTTTTTGTACCCCACTGTAATAATCAATTACTTGTAATACGTAGAATGAATCTAGCTACACATACACCCCTTATTTTAGTATTTTTTTCCTTTTCTTGATAGTTACAAGTATTTTTACAACTCTTAACAAGTATACCATTTTGATACACTCCTATTCCAAATATATTCATTTACCTAGCTAATAATTAAATAAGTTCACAATATAAGGAAACCACTTCGTTTGATACTTCTACCGTTCCTCTAACATGGTAACAATTACCATTTAATCAAGGAAGTTTCACAAACATTACAATATATGCACATGTTTTCTCTCTATCTCTTTCTTCATTACATGGGTATTTATATTAATTTTTCTCTATCTCTACCCTCATCTAAATTTTCGTGCCTTCCCCACTTATTGCAATATGAAGGTAATGGATGTAGTATTTTCTAAACAATTGTATTTGCAAGTGTATACCAAATAGAGCTAAGAAGATTAGCTTTCATAATGCTACATTAATCAACAAACATCTGTAACTTGGTCTATGGAATTCTCCAAATGTTGCATTGGCATCTTATAGAAAATAAAATTGCGCTCCTCAATAAGAACATTTTGCTAATCTATTATGTTATTACAACTAGAAGTTAACCCTTATTTTGTAATTGTATTTAGTAGGCTTATTACGTACTGAGCTAAGGGCTTTGAATAATTAAGACCCTAATACATCTAGGTTGAATATATAAACACCAAGTTATTGTGTAATACTCCATACAAACCAAAGAAAACTCAATTCTTAACATGGTATCAGAGCATAAACCCTAATACATCAAAATTCTACAAATTTGTGGAAAGAATTGACAGAAAGAGCAAATAAATTAATATACTTCATGTTCCAAATATAGAGAGTGAGGTTCAGAAAGAGGAAGTAAATAGACTTACCTATCACTGTATTTGTCAAAGGTAGGCGAACACTTTTGCTTTGGGGCATGATCTAATCAACAGAACAAAGAATCATTAGCATTAAATCAACCGCTCTAATTAAAAGAAGCAAGTAAAAAGAAATTGGGTCCGAATTCCATCAAGGGACCACAAATCACTTACTTAAATAAGTCAATCATATATCATGTAAAGTGATTATGTAAATCTAACCCACAACTAAAGATATCAAACTCAGTAGTACTAACTAAGTGATCTTTCAGAACTCGAAAAGACATAAGCTATCACGTTTATGTGAGCTAGTTTTGAAGGTAACGGTCTCATAATAAGTTAAAGCAATACCCTTACAGAAATAAACATAAAATGGCTCTTAATATAAGAAGAATGTTACTATAAGACAGTCTCATACTAGACTTTGCAAAGTAAAGTTACACTCGTGTTATAAAATTTTCTGATCCAAAGTAGGATAATTTGATTTTCTAATCCAAAAGAAAATAATTTGAGAAGTGATGATAGATTGATAGTATAGATTAGAAATTTAGGCATAGTAATTTTGTCCCTTTATATTATACTAAGTGTCATATTTAGAAAGATCCAATCTAAAAGTTTAGTTTGTGTTTGATAAAGTTTTGCTTTCTGTCTCAACTTGATTACCATATAAAGTTTCTTACATAAGATTGATTATGATATACTCTGCATTTAGAATAAGAATAAGAATAACACAGCAGCAGGAACTGGAACCTACCCCAGATGCTTGCCCAAGAAATCTACAGGCTACAGTACATTCTTTAACCATACATTCGTAGTTGCATACACTAAAATATTATTCAGCAAAGAATGTCATAGGAAGTACTACATATCCTCTCAGAATAACAAATTATGATAATTGATATAAGAGAAAAAGAAATAGATAGAAAAAATAATCAATTACGGATTTCATGAATAAGGGCATACTTGTTACCCATGTCATAAGTCGAGGCATTCTAAAAACTAGATTTATTTCAAATTTTGTACATATAATGCTTTAACACTATAGACCTATAGTTGCTAAGGCCTTTTTGTATGACATTTCCATATAACCAAGAAACCAACCTACTCCACACACCACCTTAATTAGCGTTAAGCTTGTGACCTAACTAATTGAATGTGCCAATTTACATAGATTAAGCTAGGCCAACAGGAAGTTAACCTGGTGACCCATAATAAAGAGGGCTTTGGCAGGGTTTATGCTTTAATCTAACTAACTTTCAGTTGACCTGAGAAATAGGGCACGACACGTTGATACAGTAACACGTGAAACACAAAAACGACCTCCTAAATAGAACCACTTCTTACAAACATGTACACAATATAATCATGCATCGGCCTATCTAAGAACGGAATTTCTTTCTTTGTGAAATGAAAGGAAATATCATCAATAACTTTGTGCAAGAGTTGTACTATAATTCATTCTGAAAGGTACTTTTTATGAGGTACCACTATCAAATAATAATATTATCCCTAACAGCAAAATAATGTACGTTGCGAGTACAATTTTAGTGGCGTGGGAAGCCATAAACCACAAAAGGCCAACGGTCTTGATTAGGACAAAAGGTGGACAATGTAATGGTAGATGACCAGAAATACTACGTAATTTAAAGTTTTAAACTCCCTTAATTTCTCAGAAAACCTAAGTGCAAAGTATAATTATTGGAATGCAATTACTTTCGCTTTCATAAGATAATTTAAATAATTTCTTTGCTGACGAAAATATGGTTGAAAAATTAGCTTTCGAAAAATTATTATTGTTGGATTGTTTCGTGTGAGATTTGTTTGTTTACAACATCAGGATTATTTCACCCTCAAAGAAGAGCTGAACCGTGGTTGGGATCACATAAAAATCCAACAAGTTTTGCTTGCAATTTAGTCAAAAATTAAGGCACCGTTTGTTTTGAAACATTTTTTGCGAAAATAATTTTTCATAGAAATTTTTAAAAGAATACACGGGTGTATATAAAAATAATTTCTTTTATTTGTTTTTATAGAAGAAAATATGGAGTATTATAGAGGACAAAATATAAAGGACTATATATAAGAAGATAGATTAGAGGTAAGAAAATTGATAATAGGAGTATGAAGAAAAATGTGGCATACCTTTCATCCATCGGAGAACTATTATTTTTCACCTATTACTAACCAAATAATGAAAAATAAGAAAATTATATTTATGAAAAATGTTTTCCATCAAAACAAGTGAGGCCTAAGGGGCAAAAAAGATGGTCCAACTTCAAATAGATGAATTTTAACGTGTCTCTTATCGACCCTAACCTACAAGATCGGAACTATCAGCTTCGTCCATACATTTCATTCCAATTCAAGCAAGGAGATGAGTTAGCACGGTTTCTCACTAAAGTCATTTCTGCAAAAGTAATGTCCTGAGGTTCATGGAAAAGGGGTTTGATAGCTTTTATAAGCTTGACACACTACTTCATCCTAAAGAGAGCAATTCCATACTTCCAGGTTACCTATCTAGATAGAGAGTATCAAATGATAGTGAAGCAAGTATGAATATGTAAGATTAAGCTAGCAATAAACTAAACACAATAGTATCCTTACATTACTATTTGTTACTAAATACAGACAAGATTCTTTAACCCCCAATGAAATGTGTAATCCAAAATAATGCAACATTATTTATAGGTCCAATATTTGGCATAACTTTAGAATAAACGACTAGTTACTTTAGCAGTGTCATTTGAGATGCAGTATATTTTTTTTTTTTAGGATTTTCCATCTTAAAAACTTAGCCTGCTTCATATTTCACTACAGATCCCATCTTTAGACATTCGGGGAGGGGGGAATTCACCAATGGTGCAAGGGGAGGGGGGAATTCACCAATGGTGCAAGTTTATCGATCTTTCTATCATATTTTGTTCACCTGAATTTGATTAAAAGCAGTAGAGGATTCTACTAATGGGTTTACAATAGATATACTCCTGTTATTTTCCTTCAGTCACATGAAGTTGCTTTTCACCAAGCTATACCTTATATATTACATTTTTTTTTTCTTTTTTTTTTTTCAACGGTAAACTACGGGAAAGGAGGGGCTATGAGAAATCGAAACCCCATCACATAGGGGGCTCATTCCTCACCTTAGATTTTACATTGAAAGCAGGTGCTACTTCATAATAAGTCCTAAAGTTTAAGAATTATAGTAGTACTACTTTTCAAAAGGTCACTCAGAAAAGTACAATCGATAAAACACTTGATCACTAGCACTAACACGGTAACTCCCAAGTGAAATGTTTGAAGCTTGATAAATTTCTAATGGATATGGTTATACACCTACTGAATAGTCCCTCCCATCCTAGAATAGATATTGCATCGTCTTGGACCAATGCTCCCTCCCCTATCAATAAGGCGGTTACCCAATTTTATTCTATTTTGAGAGAAGTCCATTATTGCAAGGAAAAGGAGTAGCAGTAGTTCCATCCTACACTTCATCTTGCTTTGAAATGCTCACATAAGTATAAATCCAAATCTTATGGTTTACATTGACCTTACCTTGCATAGTTGCATAAATGTGAATGTAATAATCCAGAAACAATTATTTCAACCCTCGGCACCTATCAAACAAAAAGGTCATCCTAGATGGGACAAGAGCAAAGAAAAAAAAAAATCAGATATTATAATACTTTGATTCAAAAATCACCTACATAAGCAAAAATAAAATAATACAGAGTATTATAATACTTCGTACAAAAGTATATTTAGTTATTTATTAGACACGTCGGAGTGATATGATGAATATAATAATCGGAACTTTAAAAAAAAGAAAAAAAATTTATCATTGGAGCAACAAAATCATCAGCAATCAGCTACTCTACATTTCTATAATCAAAATCAGTATAATAATGTATACATCTATAAACAGAAGGTGTACATCCAAACAGAAACATAAGCTAAATTAATTACAGCTGCTAAATGCTATTAGTGGTCAAATCCGTGTTAAATGCCGTGTCAATAACTTTGATTTGTCGCTTAAAGACATAATTAATTAAATTATGTGCACAACCCTACGCCATTAACAGACTATTATGATTGACTAAGTATAGTATTAAAGTTCTGAATCTGATTGATTAACCATTTAACTTTATTTTAACCATATTCAAAGGAATCAGAAACTAACCTAGTTATAAATTAATCCTAGGCCAACATAGACAATCAAAAGAACACGCTAATGAAGATTGAAGAGGCTAAGCTAGCACGTGAGTCAGCACTTTTAAGATTTTTACTTACAGTGCCATTAAAGCAAAGTTAACAAGACTACTATTTTTACTATGATGCATCATGCTTGACCTGTTCAGATGATTTTAACTTCTAACGCACTAAAACGAAATACTTCCTTTGTTTCTCCAATATATGAAGATTAGAATACACAACATGTAAGCAGTAAGATAATCTCTCTAAGGAATTAATTTTATTAAACCTTCTTTAATCTCTTGGTACCTCTAAAGGTCAAGACAAACAGACAGTCAAACATCTTATTAAACATTAGATATCTATTATCTAATAATTCATCCTCCTAATCAATTGGCTACCTTCACAATGTTTAAAAGACATTACAAAAATTGTGCTTGATTGATGAGGGATGGTACCCTTTGGGATTTTGGGTGTACAGACTTGGTGATTTCTTCTAATCATTTGCTCGTGTTTAATCTGATTCAAGCATATTAAGTGCTCTCTCCGTCCATCAAAAAATACACATGCTTTCCTTGGTTTCCGAGACGCCACATCTTTAGTTAAGCATCATGCAAATTAACATGTAAAACAACTTAAAATTAATCAAATAAGACCTCATTAGATGTTTTGCTTCGTATAAACATATAATTCACTTGAAATATACAGTCAAAGTTGATGAATTTCAACCTTGAAAAAGCTAGTGTGAACTTGATCATTTTGAGATAAAAAGAGTATTAAGTTTCAGACTATTTTTCAATTTATTAACATGGACTCCAATTATAAAACAAAAGTAGCCTTTCTCATCTTACTTGACCAATCTCCTACATAATCCTCATCAAAGAAAAAGTGAACTGGACAACAGCAAGAAAAATAGGTGGGACCCTAGACAATAGCAGGTTTCAGCATTAAAATCTTAGGAAAAAGTTAATTACAATTACAGTTGAATAAGAAGATGATTTCCCAACTATATAAGACTAAAAAAATCCATTGCTTCTAGAGAATGTTTTAAAAAAACGTTTGAAAATAATATAAATTAGACATACATTAAAGGGAGTTTTCACAATTCTTAATGCCTTGAAGAGGTTAATGTTACCAGAAATCGATTGAGACTTTGATAAAATCTTTATTTACAATCCCCTTGAAAACAAAAGTATAACAATTCCAATAAAAACAAAAACGTATTACTTGGCAATTACTTATAAGCCACACGAATTCACATTTCTATTTATAATACTATGATTATAATATTAGCCTAACTATTTAAATTAAGTTTGCACTCTTAGAGAATATACCCCACATTTAATAAAAACACAATTCAACGTAGAAAAACTCAAACTTTTTAGGTTTCTATTAATTGTTTGAATAGATATAACTATGTGTAGTGTTTAGACCATTGATATACACCAAAACAAACAAAGAAAAGAAGAATCAAAATCCACTATACATCCCCTTTGTTCCATATAAACTGAAACACAATTAAACGTACAGAAATCAAATTGAAATAACAAAGATGAAATTAAGGTAAGACCAAAAAAGCAAGTGAGTAAAATTTAAATGGTAACTTTAGAGAAAAAGAATGTCCATGGTAACAAATTATAGGCAAACAAAAAAGATGTTTTAAACAATTTTTTTTCTATTTTGTTTTTTTATAATACGTATAAATATTTACCACGTATACCTTTCTTATGATATGGAACGAAAGGCCCAGCTCTTACATCTAATGTTAGGGTTCATTACTATTTTGTTCAACTATAAAAAACTAGTACTCCCTTCTTCCCTTAATTAGATATCTATTCTAAAATTACACGGGAATTAAGATTTTAAGAGATTCCTTAAAACCCGTGATTGGAAAGTACAAAGTGCACATTGGGTTAGAGAGGGATAGAGAGGAAAAAAGATATTTGGTAGTTATTAAAGAGATAGAGAGAGAAAGTGTTGGAAAATGGTATCAAAAGTACAAAATAAATAAAAAAAAATTAATGACAACTCATCAAAAAGAGGGTATATTGTCAAAAAGCACATTCTTAATATAGAAATAGGTATCTAAATTTGAAACCCCCAAAAAGAAAAGTATGCATCTAATTAAGGGACGGAGAGACTAGTGTTCTGACCATTGATATATGAAGTACTACACAAAAATTAACAAGGTACCTTTACCATTACCCTTCATAAAGGTCAACTTTTCTTGCCAATTCAACACTTAGTAGATTCAAATTCTCAGCCAACTCAAGCTGGACATGATAAGCACAAGCAAACATACTTTTTCTTTATTATGTTTCATTGTTTTGTTGAGGCCAACATTACTATGTAACTATATTAGGCATATAACATTCATTTTATTAATTAACTTATACACGTTTGATCTATAATTCTATATGTAGAAGTAGTGCACATCAGATGAACCACATAGACTGGATTCAAGGTTCATACAATATACAGTACTAATAATGACTGAATATACTCACAGTAAAGGTGCAGTGCCTTTACCAAGCAGAACTTTTGTCAACTTCTTGACTACGCTGCTTGTCAGCTTACCACAAATCACCCCTCAGATATTTTATCCTGAAAAGGGAAGCTTATATCCACATAGCAACATCCATGAAGTTCACAAAAATCTGCAAAACATTAAAAAAAAAAAAAACCAACTTTCTTAGTTCATTAAATGTTAAATTTGTTTAAATGTGTAATATAAACATTAAATTCTTCATTAATTTTACTCGTCCATATAATTAAAAGTGTCCATGATCAAAGGTGTGCATGGGAGCTAGACTGCGCATGTTTCAAACAAAAAACAAAAATGAACGGAAGGAGTATTTAAATAATTCGTGTAGTCTATCAAGTCGTCAAATAATTGATAAGACAGCAAAGGAATCTGCCAAAGATCTCAATATCGTTTGCTGTGTCAATTGAACATGACTGTTCTCCAACAAAAAGGGAAACTACAGTCTCAGGCTTTTCCCAACAAAATTGCATATAATACAGCATTAGAGCTTAAACGCAAAGAAAAGCTATGAGATGGGGAAAATTGGACTTCAAACAAAGATAATGAATAGATTAATTTTCTTTTACCACTTTTTTAAAACAAGTTTTTTAAAGTATAAATGTCACTTTAATGATGAGTCACCTCCTCACCCCCTCCCCTTCTCCTCCCCAACCTCACAAGTCACAATTAAGAAACGCCTTTCATCAATCAATGTGGGGCATAAACACACACCAAAAATAAATACATATAGAGTACTGCCTAAAAGCATCAAATTAACCAAACCAATACATGTGGTCCAACAAAGGATATAATAGTCAATTCATACATAATATATAGCCTCAACCTTCCTTCATCTAGTTTAATTACTCTTGCTAAAGGATGTGTTCCTTTTCCATATCCTATCCATATAAATTATTTTTAAGGAAAACCAAGTAAAGACACATGGACAGTTCATCAAAATTAAACTAATAGATTGCTTAGTTACTATCTTGCCCTCATCAGTTCATCCTTTTTCGGATGCTCGCATCATGATGACGCAATAAAATAATCCAACAATAACAACTTCCCACGTCATAAAATAACCAATAATTTATAATTTAGAAGGGAACCTCTGTAATTGTGGAAGTGGATTGAGGGTGTTTTGGTCAGTTGACTATTAATGGAAAACTGCTAGAACACCCAAATCTAAAAGCAAATGCTACTCTTAATAGACAAAACAAAAAAAAATTGGTTTATGTCAACTATTTTCTGTCTTGATCATTTACACCAGCATCTACCCTCCCCTTCATAATAGTAATCATAATCTTCAGTAGTAGCAAAAGAGCTAAAGAAAGGTAGAGAAAGACAGAGTAATAGATTACTGCAGAAAAACAGATTTGCAGCTCAGAGAGAAAAGAGAGGTGGAAAGAAAAGGTGGGTTGGTGTTTTCTGCTTGTTATTCACTAGCTTTTCATTGGGTTCACATGTAAAATTCCTTGCCCAAAGTGTTTTGTTTTCAGCCACAAGTCTGTAGGTATAGATATGGTATGACTATGTGATCAGGTCGAATTGGGTTCTATTTTACCCTGTTTTCCTGTGTTTTTTGCATTTATATTTTTTTTACTAAGGAGGGTATCTAGAACAAGGGAAAATTAAAGATAACTGAGGTCTGAATAAAGGGAGAGAGAGAGAGATGGATTCAGAGCAGCAGCAATACCAACATCATTTCCAAGATTTCCCAAGACAGTTTCACCAGCAAAAGCAACAAACCAACGGTCTCACTCGCTTCCGATCAGCGCCGAGCTCATACTTTGCAAGTTTTCTTGATGCTGCTGCTGATACTGCCACTGCCACTGCCACAGGTGGTGTTAGTGGCACGGTAGGAGGAGAGAGGCGAGACTTTCCGGCTGCTAGACCACTAAGTCCTGAAACAGAATGCATCTTTGCCAGGTTCATGAACAGCATCGACGAAGAAGATAACTCATCACAAAAACTAAGCAACATACCTGAAAACGCGGCTGTGCAACCTGAGTTTACAGTGAGGGTTAAGCAAGAAACGGATATTCAACAACAGTTGCAGCACCAGCAGCAGCCGCAGCAGCAGCACCAACAGGGTAATTACAACAATCAATCTCAGATGATGTATCATAGCCAATCAAAACCACCTTTGTCAAATCACCACAATACAGCAGTCAGTTCAGCAATGCAAAACACATTTAGGGCAGCAGCTTCTAGTTCAATGGGGATAGATTCTATATCCCATATGAAGACTGGATTTGGTGGGGGCATCAACAATAGTAATTCCGGCCTCACAAGGCATAGCAGCTCCCCCGCTGGATTTTTCGCCAACCTAAACATTGATACAACTGGTACTCTTCTGTTCCCTCTTGGTTATTGGTTTAACTATTAAAAAAAAAAAAAAAAAAAAAAACATAAACTTGACCGCCTTTCACACAGATCTGAAATTCAGTCAATTTTCAAGCTTTGCTTTTTTCAGCTTTCGTATTAAAGTAGATAGCATATGACAGGTTATGGCATGATGGGAGGAATGGGGAGTTATGGAGGTAGTAATGTTCAAGTAAATTATTCATCGGGACAACCCTCTTCAACTTCGGAACTGGTGAATCAAAACTCAGATGTTGGGGCAAAAAGATTAAGGATGAATAGCCTAGATGAAACAAAATTCAGCAATTCAAGCAACAACCCCAACGATGACAGCAACTATGACTTCCCCATGAATTCATGGGATGACTCAATTTTGTCAGAAAATTTCTCAGGCTTAGATAGAGTTGCAGATGAGGACATAAAGGTATTTCCTGAGCTAAATGCATCAGAAAATCAGGTATAAAATCTTCTCTCCTATGATTTTACCTCTTTAATAAGAGGTTTTATTATAGTTAATATATTATGAATTGGGTTATTTCTCAGAGTGGAGAAATTAAAAACAGACCTCCGCCATTGACTCATCATCTGAGTCTACCAAAGACATTACCAGAACTGTCAAATATGGAGAAATTCCTGCAGTTCCAAGACTCAACACCTCTCAGAATCAGGGCTAAGAGAGGATGCGCCACTCACCCAAGAAGCATTGCTGAGAGGGTGAGAACTGATTTTACTTTCAAAATTGGATTAGTGTTTTATTAATACTCCTATTTGATTATAGTTTTAGACATATCATTCAAGATTACATACAATGGTTTTGATACTAATCTATAGGTAAGAAGAACTAGGATTAGTGAAAGGATGAGGAAGCTTCAAGATCTAGTTCCCAACATGGATAAGGTTAGTCCCTATGTTAAAATATATTAGTGTAAATTACACTCCCTCTGAAGAGACAGTGCTAGTTGATTGTATTTTTGACTCAACACAATCAAAATACTGTTTCCATGCAGCAAACAAACACAGCAGACATGCTAGATTTGGCTGTTGATTATATCAAAGACCTTCAGAAGCATGTTGAGGTAATGATCAATTTCAGACTTGTAAATGAATTCTAGAATACGAATGTAAAATTGCTTTATTTAGCAAAAATTAGGGAGGAAAATTTTCGATTTTGCCAAATTAAAAAGCTACAAATTATGGTCCCCTCTTAATATGTGAGCACTTTTCTTATCTATATTTTCATCTTCCCACAAAAACAAACCTCACAAGATCCACCTTTCCTTCAAAAGCAATTTCTAAATGTCTCTTAAAAGTTCTTTTGTACGATTTAAAGTTAAAAAAAGTTGGCCAAAATGCATTTAATATATGTCTTTTTAATTTCCCAACAATTACTCCCTATGTAAGTAACATGGAGCATGATGTTTATAGTGTATAGACCCTATCAACATTTCGTTAAGGCCCGTAAGGGTACTAAGGATATTCACTCCCTGTTAGTCTTAGTCCCCTAACATTGAGTTCGTTTATTATATGACTTTGTCCTGTCTCATAAGTTTTCATTTTTTGATGAATTAATCCCCAGAACCTCGCTGATAATCGAGCAAAGTGTACCTGCTCAAGATAGTTGATGCCAGCCAACGAACTACGAAAAGACTGCTCTAACAGTACAGAAGCTGCGGTGGAAAGACAACAGAAACCCATGGTGGGCTGATTCTCCTCTTTTTTCACTGAAATACAAGATCACAAATTAAAGTTAGGAAAAGAGAGAAAAGATGGACAATAGAGTATGCTTTACATAATCAGGGTATGGAAGGAAGGTAAAAAAAAAAAGTACCACTATTGTCTCCTAGGTAAGATCTAGATCCATTTGATGCCAAAAGCAATTGTATAGGCAACAATCCACGTGTACACATATCATTATGTGTAGAAATTAGGCATGTAGTGATTATTATACTATTCCGAGAATGTGGGGAGAGATTCCTCACTGATGGTTAGCCGACTTTGTCCTGTAGTATCATCTGTCATATAAAATAGAAATCAGTTAGCTATCCAACGCATTGCATTTAATACAATACATAACTGGTATCATTCAAACTTTTTTCCTGAGCTGTAAGTGTAACTTTGCAAATTGAAAGATAATATTTCTACATAAAGAAATATGCAGCCCAAAAATATGATACTGAAAACAAGAAAAGGAAACTTGCAAAAACTAGAGAAACAATGTAATATTGGAACATTGGTGTTGAGATGTAAAATTTTTGTTTGCGTAATTTTAGAAATATTACTCCAACTAACTAGGGTTGTAAATCCCATAGTAAACAACCACTCGTCCCAGTTTTACTTTTATTGGCTCTCGAATATGGGCAAACACTGTTTTACCATATGATCTTAGCACACACCCCTTTGAAGAAAAATGGATTGCTATTATTTATTACTCAAAAGCCTCTTAATCTACATTTTAGTATCATACTTGTCATTAACTTTAAGTAATGGGCAAGTTTCCTTCCTAGAATCTCCGCACGCACTAGATGGACATGAAGCACATGTCTCAATCACCACGATACCACTCAAGAATGACCTCCACTAAATGATGCCTCCTTGTAAGGCATGACAAAAAGAAATCACTCAAAGAACAAGTGTCTTATTTTCATTTCCTGAAATGGAATCAGAGAAACTACTGACATCAGTGTTTAGCAGAGAAATAATCTTGCATATTTCCATTCATAAAGTTGCATATAATACTTGAAGTTTGACAATGGATAAAGCATCTTGTCATATTCTCCAGAATGTTTATCCCTCTAGACACAATTAATAAAAGTAACACGAGTACTTTAATACATTAGTCTACCAAATAGTGTTACTCGTATTCCTTACCTTGCTTATTCTTAAAGGAAGCTTTAACCAAAAGAAGCTCACACTTCACAAAGTTTCTCACACATACTCAGTGACGTAACAGCCAATATTTATTTCCTCAAGCTGTTGTAGCAATAATTAATCGTAAATTGAGGTAGGACAGCAGAGGTATGGTGATTTAGCCAAATCAATTCACATGGGCCAAAACAATACGCTTATGCCGTCACTAAGAGACACACTGCTTGATATTGTAACTTCAAATATTGATTACCTATTAACAGGGGTTTGCCAAGAGACCAAGTCTAATACGAAATATATGATACTATATATGCAAATGACTACCATCAAGGTTTGTACATAAAAGTTCATCTCTAAAGCACTCTGGAATTAGTCAGTCTGACCCTTCCATGAATAATTACCTTTTTGGTTATGATAAAAGGGCACCATCACTCCCCTAATCCTTAGTTGAACTCTAACCATGGAGAAGAATGATACATGGAAACTTTTTGTTTCGTTACCCTGGCAGGTTGTATGACAACAATAGTTGTAGAACACAGCGACTTTTCTACGTAAACAAAACAATTTCTTTTCTAGGATATAAATGCTTTCTAACGTGGAGACTATAGGATTTAAGTATCTTAATGTACCATTCTACAAAGAAAATTAAGATAAAGATGTTAGGCGGGCATTAAATGATCAAAATTTAATACCTTACAGAAGATCCTATGCCTATGGGCATATCCAAAAACCTGCATTAAAACCAAAGGCAAAATCACAATCTCATGATCATGGAATCTAAGAAACCTAACTTAATGCTAACAATGATGCAAGATATTTATTATATATGACTAAGGGGAGCCTGCCAGATTTGATTTAGCAATTCTGATAATGCTTTATCGTCGGTGATGTGCAAGTGACCCACAAAACAAAGAATAATAGAATATAAATTGCTATGTCCTTCGTTCCACAGAGGGGATATGAGAATCGAAGTTTAAAAAAAACAAAAATGGGTTTCAAATACAATCAGTTGGTGAACTCTTTAATCTGAGGCTTTTACCATAAATGCATGTCTAATTTGAAATAGGATTAGATCTTTACCAACCCAACCCCCCCCCCCCCCAACACACACACACACACACTAAACAATTAGAATAAAACCTGGGGCTACCCTTTCCACAACTCACACTATTTGCATGAATTGGTAAATCCTTATGAAACTTTTGGTTGTAGTGAAGTAAAGCCTCTTGGTAAAAATAATGTCACAGAACAATCTGAGCAGCATCTATCCTCCCTTCAACAGTTCCAGCCTATGGCAGTCTGGCAGGGGTGAATCCTACCCCCTTAGACCCTTTCTTAAAATAGAAAAGAAAAGTAACAATTTGACAGCACATAGTTTCTAGATTATTGAACCCCAAGCTTGTTAAATTTCTTCGAACACTTAACCCCTGATACTAGTATACTACACACAGCACAGCCCCTTCAGATCAAGGCACACATTATTATCCTACACCAATAAGATTTTAAGTTAATTGAAAGTTAAGGATCTAACATAACCAGACGCAGCAGATTTTTCTGATTCAGAAGTCTTGTCAAATTTCTGTTAAGAATATGTAATTTCAACCAAAAATCAGTAAGCAAGGATTGAGGAACCAAAACTCCCTTTTAACAGTATGATAGCATCAGTATTCAGTGCTAATAAATGGACAGCTCCGGATAATCATGCTACATGACTGGAGTTTCAATTTTGTGAAGAGAATCATACTGTAGTATCTTAAACCAAAAGATTTACCAATGTTCCTTACTATATAGAGTAGCATGCATCTAAGAATTACATAGAAAAGATGTTTGGAAGCAGCTAAGATCTTTGACTGGTGAAGCACATAAACAACTAGTTCAGCTGTACAGATCCAATTAGTTGCAAACAAAAGTGATTAACACTTATCACTACACGTAAGAGCATACCAACTTCACATGTCTAAATATGTTGGTTGAACCTTCATATAATCATATGTATTAATGTATAGCCTAGATACTGATTAATAAGTGCAATTAGCCATAAGAATATAGCTACATAGATCTTAAAGAGAAAAAAATTAATGACAGACATCACAGTTATAAGACTTGAATTCCGCTAAACCAAAAGTTATGTTTACTCATCATCTTCAAAACAGATGAAAGACAATAATTATATGCTAAATTGATCCAATTAACCACAAAAGATTAAAAAAAAAAAAAAAAAAGAAAGAAAGAAAGCAAACATGACAATTTCTTTATATACTTCCCTCCCAAAGATTGACAAGTGACAAAATTTCTGCGGTCCAAACTTACAGATTTAAAAAGAGTTGCAAACATTGAATGCATAACAAACAGCAAAACCACTCATTACCTAAACAGTATTGCCTTTCAGCAAGGTTTCTTTGCCATGCCTTGGCATAGCCTTTAGCTAAATTGTTGACAAACCACAAACCAAATTAATGCCGGCATAATCAAATGGAAGCTACTTGCACCAGATTCATATTTGGTGGTGATACTACATACCTCCACCTCACTCACATTAAAATATTTTTGAGCAAACAAGTAGGTGCTATATTTAGCAGGTTCCAAGAACTGCATATCCGGGTATCAGTGATATCATGCATATGAATGATAGGTGACAATAACAGAAAACTGAATCTTTAGAGATTATTAAGAGAGAACTTGGCACAAATTCAGTAGATTTTATACTCTATAATTCTCCTTCTGATCTACACAAGAGGATAAATCTCAACTACACCAACCAAAAGGAAACATGAATGCAACTTTAAATACTGAACTATAATACTACCTCTTCTGGTAGGATATTATGCATTCAATTCTATATTTGACTGCATTATATATCGAACAACACTCACAAGAAGAATCATGTTTGTGCATCAAAACTCAAAAGTGTCAACCACGGCATTACACCACAGTAAAGAAATGTTAAGCAAATAGACAAAGCAGAAAGAAATCCAACAAGGAGCTGTGGTGGTCAGTCGCAATCTTAAATCCTTAGCGAAGACTAATTAATACATCTAAAAGTGGGAAGTTAGTCATCTACGAAGCACCAGCATAGAAGTAATTAGTAGTGTGATGAACATATACTTCAGTTATTATATTTAAATTGGCAGAAACCCACACACTGAAAAACAAGCAGCAAACAGCAATATAGCTTGAAAAAAGAGGAAATAAACTAAAGCCAGATTTCACTTACCTCTTACCACAGTTAAATTCATCTTGATTTCTACCACTTTTCTTGACTCGGCAACCTTATTCAAAACCTAGAAAACCAGGAGGAAGACACTAATGAAATTCACTAGTTCAGACATAATAAGCACTACCGAAAGGCAGAAAACTTCACATCAGACTGGATAATAAATTCAAGCAGTAGTTCATTTGGCAGATGCGCATAAAATATTTCCATTGTTAGCAATTAAAACAACCCGAGGTACTTGGAACATCCACCCAATTCCAATTCTGAAAGAACTTATTAGAAAATTATTTCTACATATGGTTTCAAATTAATTAGTAGCACTACATCACTTTCTATTCCTTTTCCATCCAAAATCAGAATTCGATATCCAAAAATACACAAACTACCACACATTACTGAACAAAGCTATATATTTAACAACATGATGAAAGAAAACAATCGAAACACGCCGATTTTTCCAACAAAACATTACTAATGGCAAACATTGCATGAATTGCATCAATAGAACGCTATATAACAAATTATTTCCATCAATAAACACAATCAATCAATTGACAATGACAATAAACTTATAATCAGCTACAACAATCGACAGTTGAATTTACAACAAGTAACAACACATAGATTGAAAAAAAGTACACGCAATTCCGAAATTCGACATGTTCTCAGTATCATACAAGTAAATTCAAGCAGAATGAAAAATGACGATAAAATCACGTCGGATCATAAACATAAACCCTAAGCATGATTCAGTGTTAATTGACTTCAATTTCAAATTGTTCATCATACAAGTCATCGATAAAACCCTAATTAAAGTAACATGTAACACGAAAATTCAAAATAAAGATGTAACGAAAGTTATTGAAGCATATAGATGAAGAGGAGAGAGAGAGGAAGATGAATATCAGTTCATACACTGACCTTGGCGGGAACTGGGAGAAAACAGCGAGATTGAACCGCCCAATTTACAGAGTTACAACTTCCGGTTCTAGCTCAGTAACTATATAATGCGTTACGTAGGTCGGGGTGATAACAAGCCGAGTTGAGCTCGACTCAAAACTCTTTATTTGAGTTTGGGTAATAGGGTGGGTGTGACTCCCTTTTAAAAGAGGTAAGTAGTTAATTAGTTGATTCTTTTTTTTGACATCCTTAATTTACCATTAATTTCTCTCATTTTATTTTAAGTTGTCTACCAATTTTTTTTTTATTATTATTTTTTTTTTTAAGGAAAAGCAATAGCTTATTTACAAATTACAAGTTTAAACAATAAGAGCTTGTTTAGCAAAAGTCATATAATCATATAATTATGCTTCAATTTTTTTTATTAAAAATAAATAAAAAAATAATAATTTGAATCTTTTTCTTCTCCAACAATATTACACTATCTTGCAAGTTCCAACTACTTGTGCAATTGAACCATGTTATATTTTCCTAATACATAAACCTATAACCATGTTATATTTATGTTACAACAAAGTTTTGTTAGCTTGATACAATGCAAAATATACATGATGAATGACGTGGAGGACGAATGATGAAGAAGCACAAGATGGATTCACAATCCCAAGTTATGAATCAAGTCTTGTATTTTGCACTTTCTTTGGCAATAGAAGCTGATAATTCTTCCCTGAACTCCAACTGACTTCAACCCTTCAATGCTCATTTTGCACTTTCAAAGGAGGTGACTTTCGGAAATTCGAAAGCATCATGGCTGTTTATGATGACAAGGATCTGCTGCTTGAGGTCTTGACAATCAGTCTTGTATCATTTCCACAAGGTTCAATTGTTTCAAGGACCTTCATCCCCGTGTAAGCTCTTCTTTCTTTGGCCAATCATAAGCAAAGATGCTTGCTAAAACCAAACAAATGCAGAAATATTAGAAAACTGAATAAAACAATTGTAGAAAAGTATATTGGGGATCTCTAATGCTTTAGATGGCCCGAACCAAAGCACCATTTTTCACCCCCCTTGGGTACTCATGTAGTCATATGCCATACAGGCAGTTCAACAATAAAATTTCGTCAATGTTGAAAAACTTTCAGAGCTAAATGGATCCTTTAATTCAAGAAACAGGCACAACGCGACAAATCTCTCAAGTTCTTGGTTATAATTAATAAAGTAACCATGGACAGTTACAGAAAATTAAAAAGCAAACCACAAGAGAGTAGACCTTGGTGCCAGCTACAATGAAATCATTTTGTGGATGTGTAGCACAAGCAGAAACATCTTCAGACAGAGGAACAAAACCGTTTTGCCTGGAACTATTCACCATTTCCTCACTAAGCAGTAAACAGAAATTGAATATCAAAACATAGCCATAGAAACATTCAGGATTCACCCAAATACAATCAGATTCTGTACCTGCAGTCCACATGGCAGGGAGAATTTGGATCAGGAAAGAAGTCTAGAAGGTGTAGTCCTTTATCTGATGATGCTGACCCAACTGCATATATCTGATTAAAAGAGGGTATTGGATCAAAACTAATAAAAATAACTACTTTTACAGAACACAGTGAGCATGACATAGATTCATGGAATGTCAAATGCAAAGTTATCTCCAGATCTATTGAAAGAAAGTCTTACTGAATTTGTGGATAGCCAGGACGGCTTTATAAGGTACGATAAATTGGATATGTCTGAGCCAGTCCTGAATTTCAAAATGAATAAGAAAATGGCCATTAAAAGAAATTTTAATGTCTCTGCAACTTGGTTGGGGAGATGTACTCACAACCAGGCTGGTGGAGGGCAATGGATATGTGTCACTTCTAATGTATGGATATCAAGAATGCCTGACCTGCAAATTTTCAAATTATTATGAGAAAATGCTATAGTAAGGTCGAAGTAAGCTATTATTCAAGGTCAAGTTAAATGATTCTAGAACAGAGTCAACGATTATCTTCTTCATCACATAGTATAATTAGGTAACTGTTGAAAAAACTATGAAGGACATGAGTGATGGATATAACAATCAAAATTTGAAAAGTTGTAAATTCATCCAGAGACAGGATGACTATCTAAAAATCTACCATCCATCATCAAGGTGGAATGCTAAACGATAAGAAGAAGTGGGATCCAAATTGATCGAGTGTATATCCTTGGGGACAATATGTGACTGCGCCTGCAAAGAAATATGAAACACAAGAAATGGATGAGAGCTCTAAGAAGTTTCAACAAATAGAATCCTCATTTGTTATATTTCAATCTTAGCAAAAGTAAAAAAGATGTGCATCCATGTTAACACAATATTCATGTTAACACAAATTTCAAAAATCTCCTTTATGCAAATTTGTAATAGTTGCACAAGATTGAGAAAAAGAAAGCAGCATGCAGATTACACTCCCAGCAATTTAAGATGTATCCTCTTTGAATACCTTTAATGACTTTATTTTCTCTAGCAACGATGAGACCTTCACTGATGCCATAGGTGGATGATATGCCTATATGTGACACAAAAAACAGCATGAATTAGACTACAATGATCAAAAGACTACTCTGTATTATCTTCCGTCTGTCTACAAGATCAGTCACGGCATAAACTAAAGCTGCCCCATCTGATAATCACCAATTTAATCCACAAAAATCCTCTTTCACAATGTGTCCCCTTTGCCAGTACTTCAATGACCTAAAGTATTATTCTAGGTAACATTTCAACATACAATTATCGTGGTTCCATGAAAATTAAGGATCAGAATAATTGTGAGTCTGCAATGAATTATTAATTTCCACATTGCCAAAAAAAAACTGGGGGGGATTGACATCGGAAGCTGTTTTTGCTCAACCTCTTTATTGCTCTGGAAAGCTGCTGATGTTCTTCCACCACGAAGATCCCACATATATATCATGCCCTGCTTACCAGCTCCATAAACAATCTGAAACCAGTAAAGTACAATTAGGGTTTTGAAGGGACCACATGGAAGAAATAATGAACTAACGAAGTATACATGAACAGAATAGGTTCGGACCCTAAAAGACATCAGAAGCCATACTTACAAGTTACAACCACCAATGTCACATGTATGACAATACAACTGGATCAATTTTTATTTTTTATTTTTTGAGTAAACACAACTAGATCAGTTACTAGTCTCTTAAGTTCTCAGATCCTTAAACTTGTTTTTACATAATATAAGTAAATCACTTATATCGCACACTTTCTGCACTTTGATACTTGTACAGTATTAAGGTTGATCATATTTTTTGAGTAAACACAACTAGATCAGTTACTAGTCTCTTAAGTTCTCAGATCCTTAAACTTGTTTTTACATAATATAAGTAAATCACTTATATCGCACACTTTCTGCACTTTGATACTTGTACAGTATTAAGGTTGATCATGTTATGAGTTTACGACTCGAGTGCCTCAAAAGGTGTAACTCATACTACTGATTATTTTACAACTGTATCAACACCATAAATCAATAACTATGAACCTACATCCAATTTCTAGTTCCATGGCACGGTCATCCCCCCTCCCCCCCCCCCCCTCTCTCCCCTCCTCCAGTCCAATATGCAAAGTTTTCTGTTCAGATTTTTGGAGATTCTTCAAAGTGTACCGAACTAAGTACAATAGCTCCTGATGATCAATATAATATACTTCGTATTCAGTAACACACATAATTCTTCTGTAAATATATCATTCGTCATGCAGTTTTTTCAAATCTAGCAATTTTCAACATCAGCATAATGCTACAGTAAACAATCCAAAAACTAAATATAAATTTGAGGATTTCATGTCTTATGTGGATCATTGGGAACATACAATAATACAAACGTAAGGGCCAGAAAATTCTAAACAGACCTGATTTTCGACATTCAATTGTATACTGTTCAGAGCATTGTGGGAATTGGTTGTCAGCTCAACAGATGGAAAACTACCTCTTCTTCTATCCCATATATTGATTGAACCAGAGGTATCCGAAGCAAAAACTCTGTCAATATCATAGAGCACAATAGAAGCAATTAGTCCAATACTTCAACCAGGAAGAGATAGTTTAGTAAAAAAGCACATGTCGACCAGCAAATTTGTTGGTGTGAACCACTGAACCCTGTACAAAATAAAGTTGCCTTATTCTGATCTGACGGTCACTAATTCTAGTTGCAGTAACAGCTCATGTGAGCCTCACTGCCTCAGACTACAAGAGAAAAACTAAACACCCTTCCTGAAGCTACTGGTGGCAAGAGATTCATAATTAGACAGTGGACTCCCTAAATTGACATCTTAGTTAATGGTGACTCCCAGCCTCACCCATGGGGGGAATCAAAAGGCCAACAAAGATAGGACACCAAACTAAACAAACAACCCGATACAATATCAATCAAGATAGGGTCTGGAGAGAGGCCTAGACAGGGGAAAAGAAACTTCGAACATAAAATTTCTCTAAACATGGACTTGTTAGAAATTAAGCCACACATCAACTCACCTGGAATCATCTGATGTAAAAGCTACATCTGACAGACCCGTCACGATATCAGAACCATGGATAGTGACAGAAGCCCTCTTTGTTAAAATCTGAATGAGTAGAGACACTAGTATCATAGGTAGAGCTTACACTAACACTGGACTTTGATTCAATAACAAGGGTTTTTACAAAAACAGAAAGAAAGAAAGAATGAAATAAAGAAAGGACATAACAAGACATCATTAAATTGATATATTGCACAAACTATAATACAAAAAACATCTTTGAAAGATTGGGATATTGGAAACCTCGGCAGAGAAAGGTAAAGGGAAGAGCACTTGAATCTTACTTCAACAGGGTCGGAAGAGACATAACCAATGTCATAAATTAATACTTCACGGCTTTTCAGTGATGTGCAAGCAACCTGAAGCCCCATTGCAATAGAAAATGTCAGATCCAAGAAAAAAAAATAAGCAGATAATAGTATATGTTAACTAACATTAAGTTAATTGGCAAAATGTCATGCAATGCTTTCCAAATAGAATGTTGCATGTGTTCTGAGTTTTTGTCCTTAAGAGCATAGGTAGAAATCAGTTAAACCACAGCAAATGTCAAATCCAAGAAGAAATTAAGCAGATAACAGAGTATGCCAACCAACATTATGTGAATTAGCAAAACAGTCATGCAATGCTTTCCACTTAAAATGTAAGCATGTGGTATGAGGTTTTGTGCTTAAAAGCATCACTAAAAATCATAGGATATAAAGCAGTGAAACACACAACTTTCGCTTTTAGTGCAATGAGTAAGGCCCAGCATAGAACAACTTTGGTTCATGTTAGTGCATCCATCCAACACAAATTTGATAAATGCCAGAACAATGCATCTATCATGTATATATTCAACCTCGTCTTGGTTAGCAGGATTCCATCGAACAGAATCAAGATGCCTTCTTGTAGATATGTGCAAAAGATGCTTTGTTTCATCCTCCTTCCACCCTGCAGATAGATAATCAAGTTTCTGTATAAGGTAGTAAAAATACACAACACATGAAGCACAGAGCAGGGGAGAGAGGAGAGACAATGTTCAGATGAACGAGTTCAATTGGAAGATGACTACATGAGAGCTGAACCTGACCTCTTACAGCATAAAATCATAAATTATAACCTCATCACAGAAACAACTTGAGTATAAGTCAACTGACCAAAGTTTATCAGAACCTTACATGGTGATGTCACATTACTTTGGCAGTAAAGAGATTCAAAGTCGTGCACCATCAAGCAACCAGATTTTGTCACCGAAGCTAAGTATATTCCCTATTGTAGAGCAAATAAGAAAATAGAAAACCACAGAAATTATTTTATTTAAAAAGAAAAAAGAATGCTAGTAACTGGAAATTATAACTAAAACCATGCAAAGTAAAAGATACTTTTAAAACTAAGTTTTAAGTATATGGCTCAGTTCTGGATACAAGGGCCTATCAGGGCTATCACACAATAAGCATAGGCCAGTCCATCATATGCATCTAACATCCAAACTTCAATAAGATAGCATGAAAGGTCCTTACAAGGGCCTATCACACAATAGCATAAGCTAGTCTATCCAAATTCCAATTAAACAGCCTGAAATATTCATGTTATTTACTTTCTAAAATATATCACTCTAAGCTATGACATAATCAACAACACCTTTGTGCTTTGGTTGATGAAACAGGTGCAATGGGTCCCATTAGCAATGTTTCGCGTGAGTTCTGTACCGATGAAAGAACAAGATATTTCAAGTAACACGTGGAACTAAAGTAGAGGATAATAACAATAATATTTCCAGTTATACATCCATCTAGCCAGAATTTGAGAAACAACTTGAGATATGAATATATGATATTGGTCCATATAATACCTGATTATCAAACTCTAATGCAGATACACCGTGCCTGCAAGAAAGTAAGGTACTCATTTGAACAAGGAAGAAACATATTCATTTGAACAAATAAATAAAAATGACAAGGCAACAGTAGTAATTAATGAACAAGACACAGCAGAGGGGATGAGATATAAAGATGATGAGTGGCAAATATATAGAAAACATTACCACAATGAGTAATTGCATTGCATATTTAGGCAGATAACAGCAAAATTACAGCAGCAACAGCCCAATATTAACAAAACAGAACTGTAGCTGTGATTCTGTGAACATACAAGGTTCCATATTTATTCACTTATTCAGACAAAAATATGATGATATGAGAGATGCGAGAGAGAAACAAACCATCAAACCAGATAGACTAAATTGGAAAGAAAAGTCATACTCCATAGCTGTATAAGTTTTCTCATCCTTGAATCAAATCAGACTATGCAACACAGAGCACGTCACAGCGAAAATACAGCAACCAGTCAAGTAGAATTTCAATACCATATACTCTATACAACACCTACACTATATAACCAAGGGGTACACAAACCTTCTAGAGGACCCCTGATGATCCAAGCCAGCAAACGACATTACTCGATTCATCTGCATGAGATTAACCACAGTTCAAATCAAATATGAAGTTCCTTGTTGCCTTGGAAAAATATGATTAGACAAAGTCAAGAAAACATACATGAGTTTGACAAGGACGTCCATCAATATGATACAGATGAGTAAACACGCCAATCTTTAAACAACAAAAGAACACAGATTAAAAAAAGCAATCTCTACTAAACCCAGTGAACAACCAACCAAAACAGCAAACAGTTCATGATCTTTATACTATATTTTCCAACCTGAGAATAAGATTGAACCAATAATCCACACATTTCGCGCTTGTATTTAGATTCAATACAGCCATTCAATTCAATTGCAGTCCTCTTCCAACGAGGCCTTCAGATACAACAAAATCAAACCAATTCCAGTAAATTAATCAATTATCACCAACAAAATCAAACAAATTCCAGTGACTTTAGCATTTATCATCAGAAATATCAAGCTAATTCCAGTAAATATACAAGTTATCAACAAAAACAATCAAACTACTTCCAATGAATTTATCAATTTACACCAACAAAATCAACAAATTAAACAAAAAGTTGTGATAAATTACCTTCTAATTGGCTTAGGGTTTGTAGAAGAAGATTCAATTGGCACAACATATCGATCCATTTGAAGCTTTTCTCTCTCCAAATTCTGCTTCAACCTACTTATTAGGGTTTTACAACAAAAATGGTTTCTACTAAAGCGTCAGATCGTAATTGCGTAAATCGCTTACACTTTATTGAGTTTCCCGCCAAATTTTCACTTGCCGCTCTCACATTTAGCAACCTGTTTTCATTTCTGAAAATTAAAATAAATAAATAAATAAAATAACAGGTTAATAAGGGAATATTACTGTGCGACGCACTGTATACCGCATACTGTGCACCAACAACACATCAAACGTTTGATATTCTAAATTTAAAAGATCAACTCAAACTCCATTATTTTTGCAATTAGAAAATTAAAACAATTGAGAAATTAGGCGTAAATTCGGAAAAAATTGCTAATAAAACACAGATTTCATTGATTGATAGATCTGAAGAACAGCCTTTACATTACATAACCAAAAGTACCAAAACACAATCCCTACTTTAAGCAATTAACCGTCCTTAATCACATCTAAACCACCATTACTTCCACTAATACATAAAAAAAGACATAGGATTAATTGATTAATTAAAATTAAAAAACCCTAAGCACGCTCGCCACGAATCCTACGAGCGAGCTGAATATCCTTAGGCATAATCGTAACTCTCTTAGCATGAATCGCGCACAAATTAGTATCCTCAAACAATCCAACAAGGTAAGCTTCAGCAGCTTCCTGAAGAGCAGCAACAGCAGAGCTTTGGAAACGAAGATCAGTTTTGAAATCTTGAGCGATTTCTCTGACTAATCGTTGAAATGGAAGCTTCCGGATGAGAAGCTCGGTACTCTTCTGGTACTTTCGGATCTCACGAAGCGCAACTGTTCCCGGACGGAATCTGTGAGGCTTCTTCACGCCGCCGGTTGCCGGAGCAGATTTGCGAGCTGCTTTTGTTGCGAGTTGCTTCCTTGGAGCTTTTCCTCCGGTTGATTTTCTCGCTGTTTGCTTTGTTCTCGCCATTGTTGATTGAATTCAAGCTTTTTTTTTCTGGGTTTTGTGATTGAGAATTTGAGAATGAGATTGTTTGTGTTTGATTTGCAGTGAAATGAGATGAGGTGGGTGGGGGTTTATATAGGGAGGGGAGGAAGCGGGAGTTTTTGAAATTTTTAGGGGAGAGATTTTGGGAGGATGAATGAGAGGCGTTGGATTAAAGATGGGTTTAATCGACGGTTGTGAGGGTGTTTTGTGGAGGGATATGGATTGCGATCCGTGTTTTTAAAAAGGGACCAATGAGAATTTAGTACTTTTATTTTTTTTGAAGTTGTTGATGGAAGCCAGCTGGCTGTGAGATGTTATCACTCGTTGGATGGACTTGGGAAAATCTTTTTGACCTTTTCATAGTGTCCTTTTTTTGAATAGTAAAATACATAATGAAATTAGCAAATAACATGAGATAAGCTAAAATATAATCCGAACTATCAATTGGGTGTTGGTGTGGTGGTGATTGGGACTACACTTGTTAGGGAGGACCTGTGTTCGATCCCCCGCAACAACAATTGGGAGGGGATTGGAACCTAACCACCCATAACTGATCCCCGAATCCGGATTAGCCCAAAAGGGTGAACCGGGTAGAACACCAAAAAAAATATAATCCGAACTAGGGGTGGCAATTCGGGTCAGTGGGTCGGGTTTGGGTCAGATTTCGGGTTATGCTTAGAAACAATCAAAAATTGTGCAAAACTTAAAATTATTACGAAATATGAAATTTTGGTCAAATCGGGTCGAATTCGGGTTATTCGGGTTCGGATCGGGTCGGGTTCGGGTTTCTCTCAGTAACTTCGGGTCGGGTTCGTTCGGGTTATCGGGTCGGGTCAGGGATTGCCAGCCCTAATCCGAACTATGGCATTAGTTGCATATTTGGTCCCTCATCTTTCAAATGAGACAAATTGGTCCCTCTACCACCCTTGTCTCACCATTTCTGGTGGAGGAACTTATGAGTCAGCAAAGTTTGGGGATGTGTACTGTCAACTAAGCAAAAGTTAAGGGACTTATCCTAGTTAGCATTTGTTTAGGGATTACAAATCATTATTTTTTTGTCAGCTACTAATTAATATTTATTATTTATTATGTACAAACTTTGATTAAAATGAAAGAAAACATACCCAAATTTTTTGCTTTTTTAATTAAATGACTATTTTTTAAAAAAATATGACTTAGAGAATTAAAGAAGAAAATTAAATATGACTTAAAAAATTAAATACTTTGACTTTCTTTCAAAAAAAAAATTAAATAACTCGAATTAAAGAAAAATAAATAAAAAAAAGGGTCGGCCATCTCTTCTTCTCTTTCGGTTTGGCTGCTCTAATGGGGAAACAATCCCCTACTTTGCACCTCATTAATGATCATCATCAATCACCATCTTTTAATCCCAGCCTTTGATTTATTTTGTGATTTAATCTTGGCCTCCTGATTTAATTAATTGTGTACAAGCTCATGTACAATATAATTCAGCCGAACCGGAGGTTTGGGTTGTGTGGTTGATTAATGACAGTGGTGAGGCTACAGACGGGTGGAAATGGAGTTGTGTGTTTGTGTTGGTGATGTGGGGTGAGAAAAGGTGGAAAATCCTATAGTTTTTTTTTAAAAAAATGGAAATTCTATAGTTTGATTAATGCAAATCATAACCAAAATATTAATGTTGATGGGAAAAAAAAAATTAATGTTAGTTAAAAGATTCCCTTTTAAATTTTTTTTATTTTTTTTTTTTGCCACATAGGCACTTTGGTCCTTAAACTTTGGCGACTCATCTTTTTTTCCACCGGAAAAGTAAGTTATGGGTGGTTGAGGGACCAATTTGCTTCGTTTGAAAGATGAGGGACCAAAATGCTACAAATACTAAAGTTGAGGGATCCTATTTTAGCTTAACTCCAAATAACATCAAATTAAATTTTTAAAAATATTGTATAAAGCAACCATAATTCTACTTAGATATACTTTGTTAGAAGTATTTGATTTGAGTATGAAAATATATCGACAGAGTAAAAGATATTTGTCGCTAAGGTGGAAGATTTTAATTACGGGGTAATTTCTTGACAAATGTTCAAAATAGAGTTGACCCAATACGATAATATAACACAAATACTCTAAACAATACAAAATTAGCGGAATACTTATTTTGTGTACGTGTTTAAACTTTCAATCACTCAAGCATTATTTGACACTTATTCATGTAAAGAGCAAATTAGCTAAGCTAAAATCTAGACCAAGGTGGAAAAGGATATATGACCATCAAGATCGACTTCGAGAAGGCCTATGACCGTCTCAAATGGTCATTTATTCGAGATAATTTACTCGATATGAATTTTCCCCTGTTATTAATTGAAGTGATAATGCAATGTGTGACTTCTACTTCAATGAAAGTGTTATGGAATGGAGAAAAATCGGAGGTTTTTTATCCATCGAGAGGCATTCGCCAAGGAGATCCGCTTTGTCCATACTTGTTTGTCCTATGTATGGAACGCTTGAATCAAGTAATTGAGGAGCTCGTACTACTTGATAGGTGGAATCCAATATATGCAAGTCGTGGAGGGCCAACTTTAACAAATCTTTTCTTCGCAGATGATTTAATCTTATTTGCTGAGGCTTCTCCGGAACAAGCCATGGTAATCAAGGACTGCTTAGAAAGATTTTGTAGAGCTTCTGGACAAAAAGTAACTTTGCCTAAATCGAGAGTATATTTGTTAAGATATATTTAGGAAATATTTGGTCTAGATATTATTTAGATATTATTATTTCCATATCTCTAGAATAGAGTTGCCATATTATCTTTGTTTTCCTTAGTTGTTAAACACAAGTTGGTGTAGGCTTAGGAAACTAGTTTTGTATTATTATAAATATTGGGCTCATGAAGCTAATAAGATCAAGCCAAAGTTTACAGTTTTACATGGTATCAGAGCCAGGTTTTCATACACTTCATAAACCATGGCTGGCGGCGATGATCAACCACCACCACCACCTCCAAAAATTGAACCAAATTCTCCATATTACCTTGGTTCTCAAGATCGATCGGGGGATTTCATCACTCCCACCCACTTAACAACAAATAATTATGACTCTTGGGCTGCCGACATTCAAACGGCGTTAGAAGCTCGAAGGAAATTTGAGTTCTTGGATGGCACGATCACTACTCCATCCCCTCCTTGCACGAAGTCCGATTGGACGGCGATAAATGCAATGCTTGTTTCTTGGATTTCTAATACCATTGATCCTGATTTAAGAACAACCCTGACAAAATTTAGAGAAGCAAAATCCTTTTGGGATCATCTTAAGCAACGCTTTGCTCAAACAAACGGACCTCGCATTCAACAATTGCGTTCCTCGATTGCAAAGTGTGAGCAAACTAAGTTAATGTCGGTCTCTATGTATTATGGAAAATTACATACTTTGTGGAAGGAATTAGATAGACATGAGCCTTTGATTTCTTGTTCCTGTTGTGCTTCATGTACAGCCAGAAAATTGCATGAAGAGCGACGAGCACATGCCCGGTTACACGATTTCTTAATGGGTTTATTCCCAGATTATTACTTTGCCTTGCGTACACAAATTTTATCTAAGGATCCGCTTCCGAGTCTTGACAGAGCCTATCAATTGGTAACTCAAGAAGAGCGTGTTCGATCAACAAAGCAGGAAGTCGAATCCACACCACCTGACCCCGTTGGGTTTGCTGTGCGTGCAGGCAATGATGTGGCAGCGGCGACTCGTGGTAGAGGTAGGAACAATGATAAACCTGTATGTTCTAAGTGCCGCAGGACTGGCCATGAAACCTCGAGCTGTTGGGCAGACATTGTGTGTGGATATTGTAAGAAGAAAGGCCATCCCGAAACCCATTGCTATGAGCTTGTGGGAAGGCCAGATAATAGAAAGCAGGGGCAAGGTCGTGGACAGCCACGTGCTAATGCAGCCACCAGTGGCAGTCAGTCTTTACTTACCCCCGAACAGTGGAAGGCTATTGCGGGTGTTATGGGTAATGCTCAAATTCCGGAAAATAGATTGACCGGTAAGTTTGATGTTTCATCTTGGATAATTGATACCGGCGCGACTCATCATGTCACCGGAAATAACTCTTGGCTAGTTGATACGAAAAATATTGAATGCCCTGTTGGGCTGCCGAATGGTGCAAAAATACTCCATTCACATTCTATCCCAGTTCATGCAACAACCTCTCATCGAACATTGGGAAGCTGCTTTGAGGGTCGTGCGTTATCTAAAAGGAACTCCCGGACAAGGAATATTGTTGCATTCAGATAGTGAGCTCACCCTAGAGGGTTGGTGCGACTCGGATTGGGCGGCGTGTCCTCTCACACGACGCTCGTTGACCGGATGGTTAGTGTTTCTCGAAAAATCTCCGATTTCATGGAAAACTAAAAAACAGCCTACAATTTCTTTTTCTTCTGCAGAGGCGGAATACAGGTCTATGTCTGGGGCCACTTGTGAATTAAAGTGGCTCAAAGGCTTATTGTTGAGTATGGGTATTCAACATCCAAAAGCAATCAAGTTGTTTTGTGATAGTCAGTCTGCGTTACATATCGCAAGGACCCCTGTTTTTCAGGAGCGTACGAAACACATAGAGGTCGATTGTCATTTTGTTCGTGATGCGATCAATGAAGGCTTAATTTCACCATCCCATGTGTCTACTAAGGATCAATTGGCGGATATATTCACAAAAGCACTCGGGAAGACTCAGTTTGACTATCTTCTTTCCAAGTTGGGCATTTTCGACCCTCATGCTAAGCAAGGTCCGGTCGAGTAACTGCAAGATATATGAGTCGTCCCACAAGACGACGATATGCGTCGGGATTGTGCAACAATTCGCCACTAGCATGAGCAAGTCTATGATTTTGTTCCATGGGAAACCCACTTGGCTTTGCTCCCAATAGACCTATTTCAGAAATAATATCCAAAGTATACTTTCTTTGGCACAGAAACAACCCGGAAGTACTACGAGCCACCTCAATGCCCAAAAAATATGTAAGAGGTCCAAGATCTTTCATTTTAAAACAAACACTAAGATATGCCTTGAAAACCTTTAGTGCAGCGGAATCGTTCCCAGAAATAATAAGATCATCCACATAAACTAAGACATTTATTTGGGTTTTGCCATTAGTATATGTGAATAAAGAATAATCAGTGTAGGTTTGGAGAAAACCATACCGTTTTAAAGCCAACGACAATTTTGCATACCAACACCTAGGGGCTTGTTTCAAGCCATATAAAGACTTGCGCAATCTACACACCAAAGAAGGATCCGGGCTTTCGAACCCGGGGGAAGCTTCATGTAAACCTCTTCTTTCATGTCACCATGTAGAAAAGCATTCTGAACATCTATTTGATGTATCTCCCAATTTTTGCAAGCCGCTATTGCAAGAAAGGCACGAACTGTAGTCATTTTGGAAACCGGAGCAAAAGTTTCTTCATAGTCAATACCGGCTTGTTGATGATTACCGAACACCACTAATCTTGATTTGAGTCGCTCAATATCTCCATTGGATAAGTACTTGGTCTTATAGACCCATTGACTGCCGAGAGCACGTTTCCCGGGAGGAAGATGTTCCAAAGTCCATGTACCATTATTTTCTAGAGCACGAATTTCTTCCTTCATAGATTGTCGCCACTCATCATGTTTCATGGCTTCCTTGAAAGATTTTGGGTCTTTACCCTTGATAACAGCTGCAAGAAATTTCTGATAATTGCTAGAAAAATTGTCACAATTTATGTAATGTGCTAAAGGATAAGGTGTTAAGATATATTTAGGAAATATTTGGTCTAGATATTATTTAGATATTATTATTTCCATATCTCTAGAATAGAGTTGCCATATTATCTTTGTTTTCCTTAGCTGTTAAACACGAGTTGGTGTAGGCTTAGGAAACTAGTTTTGTATTATTATAAATATTGGGCTCATTAAGCTAATAAGATCAAGCCAAAGTTTACAGTTTTACAATATTTCTCTCAAAATGTGGCAGAATATGATCAAAATAGCATCTCTTCGGTTCTGGAAATGGATAGCACAGAAGATTTGGGCTTTTACTTGGGCATGCCTACGATTTCAAGTCGGGTCACGAGGGAGACTTTTGCTCATCTATGTGAAAAAATTGATCGTCATCTCTCCGGATGGAAAACAAAATATCTCTCGTTCGTAGGAAGAATTACTCTAGCAAAGTCTACAATCTCTACTATGGCCAATTACTCAATGCAAACAGCGAAAATTCCACGATCAATTTGTGATGATATTGACAAAGGGACAAGAAGGTTCATATGGGGAGGGACTGAGGAAAAACGAGTTGTCCATCTCCTTTCTTGGGATACTTTGCAATTGCCAAGAAATAAGGGAGGAATAAGTATGGGATCGACAAGACAATCCAACTCAGCTTTTTTGACTAAGCTTGGGTGGAGAGTTCTCACTGAGCCTAATTCGTTATGGGCAAGGGTCTTGAGGTTCAAGTATTGTCATGGCAGATGTGACATAGACATGTTCACTCCAAGCTCGAATATGTTGAACGTCTGGAGAGGGATTACTGAGAATGCAGAGTGGCTGAAAAAGGGTTCGAAAGTGGCTGTTGGCAATGGTCGAGCTACACTATTTTGGGATCATTGTTGGGCTTCAGATTTCCCCCTAAGGGATGAGGCTACTGCAATCATTCCTCCTGATCTGGATGGTGCAACAGTCGAAGAGATGTGGGATCATGGCTTAGGGTGGAAATGGGATAGCTTCGCTCACTTGCTACCAAATGAGTGTCTGCAATTAATTGCAGCACACAAGCTGACTGAAAACCCGGAAGCAGGGGACTTAAGATTTTGGAAGGGTTCAACTAAGGGCAAATTTTCTATTAAGTATGTTTTACAAATCATGAAGGTACAGGATAATACAGTAAAGCATCCAAAATGGGACTTGGCTTGGAAAGCCCCCGTGCAACATAGAGTCCGTAGCTTTCTATGGCTATGTCTTCATGATAGGCTCCTTTGCAATGTGAACAGGTTCAAAAGACAACTCTCTGATGACCCTATATGTCATAATTGTTCTGATAATGCTGAAGAAACAATTTTACATATGATTAGAGACTGCCCCAAAGCTCGTGCCATCTGGTCAAGCGTTGGTAATGCTGCCCTTACCCATGGTTTTTTTTTCTGGAAATTTTGAGGAGTGGTTCATGAACAATATGGACTGCAATGAAGAGGCTCATTCTAAGAAGTGGCAAACTTGCTTTGCAATCTTCTTGTGGTGGATTTGGAGGTGGAGGAATACCTCAATTTTTGGGAGAGGTGAAGAAATTCCATCTGATACAGGGAAATTTATTAAGTCTCGTGTTGAAGAAAATTGGAATGCCATGAGTGTAGACCCTATTCAAGGCAATATTCTAGGCCAGGCAGAAACAAGAAGCAGGAGATTTTTGTGCGATGGATAGCTCCACCACCTGACTGGTATTCCCTTAATACTGATGGTGCAGCAAAAGGAAGCCCAGGACAGGCTGGGGGAGGAGGCCTAATTCGAGACTCTACAGGTAGTTTTATCCAAGGATTCACTGCTTGTTTTGGAGTTTGTCAATCCTACAGAGCCGAGTTGCTAGCACTAGAACTTGGTCTTCAAATGGCAGTGGAAAATGGTATTGAGAAGCTAGTGATTCAAATGGACAATCAAGCTTGCATTCAAGCGCTTAAGGAAGCACAACATCAAGGAGGAGAGTGTTATCACATCTTGAACAATTGTCGTAATCTTTTTATTTATTTTAGTAATTTTGTTATTAATCATTGTTTTAGGGAGGGTAATAAAGCCGATCGTCTGGCTAATTTAGGTGTCGTCCTTGAAGAGAAGGTGACTTATTTCAATGATCCTCCCATTGAAATAAGAAATCTTCTCAGGGAGGACATAGTTGGGGTAACCTCACCCCGGTTTGTTAGTTAATTTCTTTTTTGTACTCGGGTTTTTCCCTCCTTTGCATCAAAAAAAAAAAAGAATCTAGACCAAGGTTACCTAATTTTTACAAAGCAACACCATATTTAAGATCTGACATAATTGACTTGTGCTTGATTACCAGACATAAAATTTGAATGATACCTTAATTGCATGATATAATTGTTCGGATTTACCCCCCCCCCCTCTCTTAGGCCACAATCAATGTGTAATAGTGCTAAACTTATTAAAAGAAGTCTAACTATCTCTATATGGAAATGTCCTTTAATTGTTAACTATGTAAATAACACTAAATATGAATCAACTTAATTGACTTGACTTGACATCAAAATCAACCCAAGTAATTTTTCAACCAAATACAACCCGAATATATAACATACATTTTTACTTAGTTGTGTCATTTACATTGTTAAATTTTTGTATGTGGTAATTTTGATATCCTCATGAATCGTTTGTATAATGCAAAAAAAATCGAGCATCTTAAGTTAAGTTTACAAGTAAAAACACAAGGATGTTTCTTGTAACATAACGCAAATAAACGACTAAACAATGTTAAGTGTCAACAATCCCCATATACAAAAGGCCATGCTCAATGTTAACAATTTAATCGAATTAAATTCACCAAAATGCCTCACTCTATCAGTCACACACACAAATTTACCAAACTGAATCACTAACACTCACACATCACTTTGCCACATTCACACAAGACTGAACTTGAAATCCATCCAACACTCACCTGTATATATACAAAGCAGCAACATAATTTGCTGCTTCCACACTTTTTTGGTAATAATATATGATCTAACTAAGAACTAATTAAGAATATGTCAAATTATCAATGCCATTCATATTGCACACGCTTCATTCCATACATAACTTTCAAGACATATATTACACCCAGTTGGCAGGCAGCGCGAAATCATGAAATCTGAAAGATTCTTCCCCTGCTGTATCTCTAGCCAATCCTATCTCAGTTCCACCACCATTAAGTCCAGCACCAGGGGAACCCGAGGATGGTGAAGGAGGTTGGTTATGATCACCATCAGAATATCGAGGACTCTGAAGGCTGTTAGGCCAAACTGGCATAGCTAATGGAGCAGGACCACTTTGTGATCGTGCAGAATTAGAAGCAAACTGTGAGTCCTGCATCAAAACATGGAAAAGCAAGGGTGCTCGAGCATGGCGGTGTAAGGATAGCTTCTGGCTAAGGGAAACGGTATCAAAGCATTGGATAGCACTTGATGGAGAAACAATCCAAGGAAGGACTTTTTGGTTGTTTACTCGCGATATCACTAGAAGCTTAGAGTCTCTTGATGCTTCTTTATACAACTCACTCAGGCCTGATCTTGCAGAAGGGACATTTCCATCACCTTCTAGAATTGATGATATGTATATAAATCCCTACAAACATTGTCCCAAATATGTTAGCATTTAGCAACACACTACCAAAACTTTAGACAGAAACGAGTCAATAGCATGTTTATGTGTTCTAACCTCTTCAGTGCGACTTACAGCAAAACCGAGCTTTACATCACCCTCTTCTATGTCAATCTCGATTGGATACTCTTGGATGGGAGAGTACCAGAGACGAATTGCTCTGACTACTCCAATGTCGACTCCGTGGTAGTCCTCAAATCCATACAGGCTTGCATTGGCAAGATTTGGCAAATCTGACAATGATGAAGTGCTCACTGTGGAAGAAGCTGTTTCACCAGAAATCTGTTGCAAACGAGAAACAGATGGATTAGTCATTACCTTACTGATTAGTCGCATTCATTAGTATCGAAAACCAACAAGTAGTATAGGAATAAGTACCAAGATCTTAAAACAATAAATTTGGATCACTCAAAACACCAGAAAAACATTTCAAATCTTCAATTTGAACAGCATTGCATCATGCCATATTTTACCAACTAATTGTACGTAGTACTCAAGTATGAGAACCGCGAATGCCTTAAAATGACTAAAAACTCACAGAATCAAACAGAATAAAACAATTCCAATATGTCAGCTTGTTTTACTCAGACAATGTAAAAATAACATTAGACTAGCTAAACCACATAACATAACCGAGCAGTTGGCTATAATATAACATACTGAACTGCATATTCGAGTAAAAATGTACCTTCGTAAGTAATGATTCAGTCTGAATGTTTGTTAAGGTTATTGGGATCCCTGATGCCTGAGCCGCGTTAAACCATGCATTAGCTCTAGCAAGAGTATCCTCCACATCATTATAACGCCCACGTCCTGTTTCTGAAGCCTTTGGCAAGAACAGGATGGAGAAAAAACTGCTTGAATTTGGGACTCGTAGCGTTGTCTGCATCTTCCGTTCCCATGGATAGGCTACATAACCATCCTCGATTTGAGTGCTGTTTAACGTGTGATGTAACCTGGAGTCCCTAGAAGCTGCGATTAGAGATCAAGATAACAAAATACCGAGGAGGAAGAAACGTGTATCAGATCATACGTACAGATGAATTGAATCTTGTTCGCATACTCAAATTAGGCCAAACATCTAAATTTGGTGTACTCGATAAAGGTCCTTTTCAATTTCATAGGAAGTACAATCGTACATAACTAACTACCTACTATATCAACATTAACGTTACCAATAATTATCAAGTGGACTTGATAAGAAGACACTCAAATTGAATGCAACATTTGACTTGTCAAAGTCGGTCTAATTTTGAACTTTTTGACCTCTATTGTGATAGAACACAGTAAGAGGAACATCTTCAAAAAATGTGATCTTGATGAAAATTTTCGGGGATATTTAACTAAGATTACATATAGTAAGACTTGCAAGTCATGCAAAGTCAAACGTTGCAATTAATTTGGAAAGGAGAAATGCAAACTCTTATGTTCCAAATACATACTCTGTACATCCTAAAAACTCACATAATTAATTTCATATAAATATATAATTCCTGTTTTATATTGTTCTGCTAATTGCCTAATTGTTATCAGTTATGAATATTGTCACTCTTACTCATCAAATTCATATATAATCAAACAAGTTGAGAATAATTAATAATTAAAATATGATCAATAATTCACAATTAAGCCTAAAATCTATGACTGACAAAAACTTTGAACATGAATTCAATTATTTAATCATAGCACCCAGCTAGACTTAAAAAACCAATTAACTACAAATCAAAATCAACCTTTCCTAAACATGTTTTCCAAGATCGTCCTTTGCAATAACTTTTCGAAAACGAGACAATCTTAAAGAGACGGAGAGAGTAAAATTATCTAGATAAAAAGAAGTCAACGCAACAAAAACAAAAATCCCTATATACATTACCTTGTAATTGTAAGCACTCAGTCTCAGAACGATCAATAAAAGCAACAGCATAATTAGGATCATCAATAGCTCTCAAAACATACTGTTGCTTCTTCTTCCTTCCTTCAGGAACAATACAACCAACCAACACAGCAGAGTCAAACTCACCGCGTCGAACTCGAACTCGAACCGCAGTTTCCTTGCTCTTAAAGCCCTTATGCAAATGTTTCTGAACACCAGAGTTACCATCCTTAAAGGGTGATCGTAGGATCAATTCACCAACTTGGATCTCTTCAACGATATCGCCGGTTTGGAGTAGTCCTCCACTCCATTCGTCGGCTCTTGAGGTACCTCTTATGCATTCGATTGCTAGTACTTTCGAGTTCGAGCCCGACCAACTACGTGATGTCGAAGTTGATGATGATATTGATGAGCTTGTTCGATCAAACAACATTTTTTTTTTTTGGGTTTGAGTTTTGAGGAGAGGATCAAAGGAGAGATAAGAGTGAATGAGTAAAAGAATGGAGGGGTTTTGTAAGAAGGAGTTGCGCGGGATTGACTTTTCAAAGTCTTTGGTTATTGTCATCAAGAAAGGAGTTGAAGTTTAGGTGACATCAATTAATAACATCATATTTTTCACCTTTTGTATTTTTTTTTTAAGAAAATTTGTTGTAGATTCAAGGTTTTAATGCAACATTAATTACAAAATTAAGTCACATGAAGTATTCCCTCCGTCCCCGATTGATAGTTACTTTTACTATTTTTGGTAACTCAAAATGTTAGTCATATTTGCTTTTTTCAAATACCATTAATATTATTTTTTTTACCAAAATTCTTTAACATTTGCAAAAATATTTGTGCAAATTTAACTTTTCAATGTTAATTTTACTTTCCCATGTACTTTATTTACCTTCTCTATCTACTTTTTTGCATAACTAATGTAAATTTGCTTTTTCAATGTACTTTATTTAATTCTTCCTAATTCCCGTGATTTTTCTTCAAAAGTGACTATCAATCGGGGACGGAGAGAGTACAAAGTAAATTTAAATGGATAGATAGGTTATTAGGTTGTATGATCACTTGTATGAGCCAATTATATGCATGGTGTTTACCTTAATCATCCTTAATACGGAATAATAAAAAAGTTGTAGTAGTAGATTTTTAGATTGTTGACTAGATTTCATTTTATAATAGGAGTATTCATTGTAAATTACTCATACAAATTCATTTTTTTTCCCTATGTATATGAACTATTTTTAGTGTTTTAGGATCTCTCTATGCCTTTTGAAATTGCCATTAACCTAATATTTCACCTTTCTTATCGGTGAATGCCGTGAATCCTTTAAGTTCACATCATATCCGCAATTTCAAATCAATAAGTTTATTGTAATCTTATTTAGAATATACGCATGTAACGCATCTATGCTAAATTAGCTTTGAAGGTGACATCAAAATTAGCAAATATTTTCTAGAAACTACAAAGTCTACAAGTCTATATTTTTGGAAAATGACTATTCTAACTCATATGGTAGGAATAAGATAATTCAACTACTAATTTAAAATACACAAGATGTGTATATCTAATTAAGCTTATTTGACTCAAACTTATTTTATTGAAAAGAACATGGTCTTAGATCCGTTTTCAAAATATTGCAAGAAATTGTTAAAAGAACTTCACCTACAAGAAAGAGCAAACGATTGTTGAGTGTGAGAAAAGACAAAAAATATTATATATATATTATCTCTGATTTTTTAAGTTGTAACTTTGGAATATTTTATATCTCTCAAATAATATCCCAAAGTTACAACTAAAAAAAAAAAATCTGGAGGTAGAATATATTTTAAAATTGATAAATAAAGGGAGTGACAAGACAAAGACAAATTAAATACAAGTACAATGCAACTTACAAGTACTCCATATAAAATTCAAGAACATAAAAAAGGAAATGTGTTGAAAATTTCTATATAAACTTTTATAGTTATTGGACTTTTCTTGTCAAGTCATCTTCCATTAATATAACGAAGTTAGTTGACTAAAATATTTGTTGATGATTCCTTAGAGCTTGGAGGTCAAATACATTAGCCACCTCTTTAAACCTACACGAGTACATGACTATTCGAGGGTCAAGAAATGTCATGTTGGTACACACTTAGACTTGTATATAATTATACTTGGTGACGAGACTTCATTGTAAGCGTACCATAGTTGCAAGGAAATTTCACAAATGTTCATACATGGCATACGAATTACGTAAAATGATAAAGTATTACTCGGTATAAAAATAGGTGTATAGTGTATTGATTCTCGTATTATGTTAATTTTTTAATTCTAAGTTTCACTTAAGATTCCAATTTATGTATTGAATATTGTAAAACACTAAACATTTGTTTGTAACTTTTTTTTTTTTTTAAGATTATTATTCTATTTATCCCGGTTGGGTGATGAAGATGAACAGTATGTAGTAATATACTTCGTACATGCTAATAAGTACGCCAAAGAACAAGAATATATATATTTCTTAATAATAATATGACCTTAGTTACTCTTTTAAGTACATAATTGATAATTCTACAATAACTTGTCAAGTTATAAGAACACATTCTTCTGTGTTATAGCATAGAATTATCATTCCAAGTTCCTACATATATATGTGCTATCACCAAGGATTTTTGCACTTCAGGTACCGTCGATTCTTCATCATCAGAATTTGATACTAATATTGGACATCATACCTACATAATTGGTTAAAATGAGTTAAATTTCTTATAGTGTATCAAAAAAAATTCAAACAAGTACCACCTAGTAGTCGGTAATGTTACTTGAAGCAAAGCTCGCTTATAGGGTTATATATCTTAAGGCCTCAACGTTAACCCGACAATGAGAATCGAACCCTTAACCTCCCAAGGGGGAGACCGAATCACCTCTCAAAACAGGCATGATGCTAAAAAATATATGGAGCTTTACAAAAGAAAAGATACTTACTACATCCATCGCTTCTGTGAGGCTACTGCATCTTTGGATCCACTATGAGTTCGTCTTCTGTTAGTTTTCGAACCTACACCAGCAGACACCTTGTTTGGCATTGGAGAAGCTACTGAATGATAAGTTTGATTCAACGATTTCTCCTTAAGGGGACTCACTGGTCTGGATTTCGGGACCTGAAGTGAAAGCATTGTAGAAGGCGATGGGGCTTTTGCAAGTGACAGTTTCTGGTTTATCTTTGACAGTTTCTCACTTGAAGAAGAGCTGTTTTGAAGAGGGGTGTTTGTGGAGGCCTTTACTACTACTCGAGTTTCAACAGTACAAGAGGTATTCTGCTTCTTCTCAGAGGTGCAGTCTGAATCAGAAGATAAAGGACTATCCATATCATAAAGCAGATTATCTGACATTGTAGGTAGCTGTTTCTTATCCAAGCTCGGCCCAGAGAATGACCGCCTTTTGGCTCTTGTTAAGTTCACCACCTGTAACAATGTAACGCTTTAGTATTGTTGAATGTTAATACTCCTTCCATTTGAGTTGTAGACTTAATATTGCTTGATTAAGGAAGTAGGAAATAAAAACTTATTGCAGGCAGAATTTGGCAACTTATTAGAGAAAAAAGAGTTGAAAACGATTGAAGTTGTTACAGCAAAGAGGTCTTACCTTCTGTTCCAGAACAATCAAGTCCTTTTTCAACTTAGTAATAATTGTGCATTTTCGACGAATAACCTCTTCAAGTTCTTCAATTCTCTGTCAAGAAAAGGAAAGTGTCTTTACTGAACCATCCTCGTTTCATAAATTAAAGAAAAACAGAACAAATAGTAAGGCATATCTTACTTTAGAAGTGACAACATCTTTTGAACGAATAAAAGAAGAAAGCTCCTTTATAGCAGCATCCTTTTCTTCACATTCCCTCTTAAGATTATAAGTATCTTGCTCTATTGCTAAGTTATTCAGCTGAAAACCACACCCAACATCGACATTCAGTGTACGTTTTGCTCGAGGCAAAAATAAATAAACAAGTTATCCTTTGCTCAAAACAGATGCATATATATATAGCAAAAATATAGAAACTACGGTTAATTCATTACTTGTAAATCTGCCACTGAAGTGACACTTGAAGCCCAATCAGACAAATCTGACATACGACGTTCCTCCTGTTCTGCTTCATTAGAAATAGAGAGTCTATTTTTAAACATCTCGTCACAACTAGCAGCTTTCACAAGTGAATTTCCCTGGTACATTACAAGCATGTCAAATTCAGCTTCTAACATGTCTAAAGAACACAAATTTCTGTTTCCTTAACCTATCATTTTCTTTGTTTGTGTGTGTATATAGTGCATGAAGTGAATTACCACTAGGAAGTACTTTGTAACAAAACGGGCAAATAATAGAGTCTCACAGAAACATCATTCAACTCAGCTCGGCGTTGATCACAGAACCAGCAGTCTGTGCACATAGAGTCAGATTTGCTGGCCAAAGATGATCTTCTAGACGAAAATTCCATTATCTTGGATGCTGAAGAATCAACTATTGCTTGAGGCTGATCTTTCATAGAATTCATTTGCTCACACAAATCATCAAGCTTTTGCTGCATGCTCATCAATATATCATCCTGCAAGAGAATTAAAAACACACTGATCAGTAAACTCCACATGAAATTTTCAGTAACACTCAAAAATCGAAAGAATGCACTCCCTATTCCCCTATTACTTCAATCACAGTCACATTTACTGATTCAAAATTTAAGAATGCAGCTAAAGAATTTGGCATGTCATAATAGTAAACCAAAAACTCGGGTATCACATAACACCATGCTTGATCATGTAATTCACAGACTCACAGTCACTGAATCAATTGTAAACCAAAAACTCAGGTATCACATAACACCATGCTTGATCATGTAATTCACAGACTCACAGTCACTAAATCAATTGTAAACTCAAAATTCGGGTATTAAGAGTATAAGTCAATCTCATTCGCGTAAATTGGCTCACAAACATGCTAAAAGAGATCACTTTTCACTTTCAATCTCATTTGGGTAAATTGGCTCACAATGTATAGTTCTCCTATGACAAAAGAAGCCAACAAAGCGGGTCTACAAACAATTGTACTTGTTAAAGCTACCAACTTTTAAACATCAATATCATCATCATCATCTTTATCATCCAATTAATCACTTTTCACTTTCAATTAATTTAAAATTTACAAATTCCAAAACCCTTACATAATCTTTACAGAAGTCAATAATTATCCCTAAGACCCACCAAATTTTTTTAATTTTTTTTTTTAAAACCGAACTCAGAATTAAAAACCCCACATAAAAAACAATCATAAAATCATTACAAATTCAAAAAATCAAATGTGATTAAAAAGAAAAGGGAGAATTTTTACAAACCCTGAGTTGAACACATTTTCTGAGTTGAAAAATCTGGCGATTCTTCTCACATTTAGCAGCAGCAACAGCAACAACAGCAACAATAAGAACACGATGAATAGGGCTAAAGAGCTCCCACCCAACGGCTTCCTCTCGGCTTAAGCCGCCGCCAATGGCTTGAGCCGAGGTAGCTTCATCGGCTCCAACAAGCCGACCTTGAAGAGAAACCCAAGCCAAAGTCTTCTTCTTTGTTGAGCCGGCTCGAATTGGGCTACTCGGCTTGGAGAATTGGCTTGAGAGACGCCGATTGTTGAGTGTTGAAGAGGGTGTTGGAGAGAAAGACACCAAATGAGCCGGCTTGAAAGCCGCCTCTGTTTCGGCGGCGGCTTCCATGAATTGAAGCGAAAATGTGGTTGAATTGAATTTGAATGAAGGAATGAATTAATGTTGTTGTAATAATTGGAGGATAGGAAGAGATTTTGTAACGTTGAGTTATGGAAAGAAATTGAAAATGAGAAAGATGGCATATATTTTTGAAATGTTGATTTTTTTTTTTTTGGATTTATTGGTTTGGGAGGGAAGGTTTGAAAATGTGGGCCGTGGTCCGTGGAGAAGTGGACGTTGCGGATTCATGTTGGAGGGTTAGGAACTTAGGCGGGTGAACGGTTAGACCGGATGAATGGGCGTCCAGACGAGTCTTAAAAAATCAGTCCATTTTTCGACAGGTTGTTATATACACCAGAATGGCAGAGTGTACCATACACCCATAGATATTTGTTTTCACTTTGATGATTATATTTCAATTTATCATCAAATGAAGAGCAAAAACTAAACTTAGTTTAGTTGGGTACTTTGGGTGTATGATATACTCGGATGTATACAACAAATTCTATCATTTCTCAATCTGGGCCAGGTCAGGCCTAGATTCGGCCGAAAAATTCTAGTCCAGATCCGGCTGAAAAATATGAAATCCCAAGCCCGTCCAAAAAAAAAAAAAAAAGTCAAGCCTTAGGCTGAAAAAAGCCGCCCAAAACCTGCCAAAATTAGAATCGGGTCAGATCAACTTTGATCTACTCTTTGAACGGGTTATCCGTGTTACCATTGTAGACTCGTAGTATAGTAGTTCGGATTGAACCGTTAATAACCCGTAATAAGTTATGACCGAACCGTTTACAACCCGTGAACCGTTTATAATCCGTAAGTCTGTAACCCGTTATGACCGTAGAGTGGTATATTTTATCAATAGTAAAACAAAAGGGTTTATTTTGAATTACAAAGTATTTATGTTGAAAATGTTTGAAATTTTGATGTCATTGAAACTCTTATGTTAAAATATTATTGTACTCTAACGAGTAATGGCTTATGGAACACTATATTAGTGTATTAAAAAAAATTAAAAATCTAAATTAAAAGCTCTAGATTTGTTATTATTATTTGATCCTTAAAATCATTATACAAAAAAGGGACATAAAGTTAAACAACTAATTACTACTCCGTATGATCTATTGGAATAACTAATTAAAGAATATTGAGATATACTAGACGATATACGTTAACGATACCCGTTTAAAACTGGCAAAACCAGTTGTCAAACCGACTGATTACAACCCTAATCGATTACAACCCGACCCGATTAGGACTCGATATGTGTTGACCCAAAACCCGCTTTAAATTGACAAACCCCGTTTTTAAACTGGCCGAATTTAACCCGAACCGATTATGACCCGAACCAATTATAACCCGACCTGAAAAGAAACTGTAATAAAAATAAACCAAAACGAATCGACTCGAAATGATTTAAGACTGACCTGAACTAACCCATTAATAATTTCAACCCGTTAAAAACCGACCCGTTACAAACCGAAAATCGATAAACCAAACCCAAAACTTAACCGAAAACCCGATTGACACCATTCTTTAGAAATCAAGGTAAGATTTTAAAGAAGTGAGTCAAGCCTTGTATGGAATTGCAACACAACATTTTTTTTATATGATGGATTACATTTTAATTTCGCTTTAACAAATCAAGTGACCTAATTAATTGCAGTTTTTTTTTTTGAAAGAATAATTAATTGCAGCTTTAGTTATATTGTTAATAAGTATCATACATATACTTTGTAAGATCACTAAGATGAACAATGTCAGATGCAAGCCTAACAAGACTGTGGTAGATGGGCCGCAATTTTGGGCTTGCCTAACAAGGTTGTGGTGGATGGGCCGCAAGATTCATGGGTTATTTGTGGAGCTACAAAGGCTATGCTTTTGAGATGAGACAATATGTGTTACGTAGCAGCAAAATTTTTATTGACTTGAAGTCTTGAAGACTTGTGGCATAGTACTAAGTACGTAGCAGCCCACACTTTGACATATGTATTATTCTCATAATAATACAATTTATTTCACAGTAATTATAATTAGATTATTAGAGGGTGATTAAGTCGCGATTTGTCTCCTTTTTTCGATTATAGGGCATGAGCAGCATCTTAACAAGGTCCATAGTAACAGAAGCAAGCCCATTTGCCATTGTACCACTCTTTCTTTCCATAGTAGGCATCCCAGACGTTCTTGCACTTGTAGGAGCAGTTATCCGTCCACCAAGCTTTGTATAACCATCCACAGGTTTTTGCTTCCGCCATTTGGATTTCTAGAAAATAATACGACAACAAATAATATTTATAAGTTGAACAACGGTTGCACTAGATATCTACAACAACAAACAAGCTTATAATTTGGTTTTATTGTCGTGTTATAGGTTATGCCATATGTGTAACTTGTATAGCGGTTGTACCAGACCATGGCATATTATGTTATTTCATGTGTGTATATATATCATATCATATTTGTATTATGCTATTATACATTACTAGGATACACTTCATTTCTTGATTATTCACGGTATCCATTATTGATAAGCAAGGTTATAAACTTATAAACATTATGACATGCACTAATCACAAATTAAACTAAATTAATTAAGATAATAAAGCTAATGCTACAATACTAACAGTGATTAAGGGGGTGGATTAACTCACCAGTGCTCACTACAAGCATGAAAATGAGAGAAAGTGCAAGGAGGCTAACGAAGTAAGTAGACTTAGCCATTTCTTCAGCCTTTGTTAGTTAATTAAGCTAGATATCGCGAAAAATACACTTTACTTTGATTTGTGTTTTTTCGATTTTGTGAGTTGTGATTTTTCGTTGTAAATGAGATGGGTATTTATAGGATCATATTTACCATTTTTTCTTGATAAAAAAAGATCAATAATCTTACAAAGAGTTACAATAGAAGAAGTCAAATTACAGAAACATTCAACAATTAATTAAAGAGATAAACAAAGTTAATATTTTCTCTTTTTGATGAGTAATGCTATGTTGTCATGATCTCGGACTTTTGTTGGTTTTGAATTTTTCTCAAGGAAAACAATGATGCTAGATCTCAACTAATACATAACTACGTACATATATACTGGCATTGTGCACTAGCCATTAGGAGAATAGGAGATTTTTTGGTGCACAGGAGAATAGGAGAAAATTTGTGCTAATTATGTATTTCTGCCGAGTTTAGAGTCTAGAGTCTAGAGTTTGGGGATAAACTCACCCTAAAATTAAAAAATATTCTTATAGTCGATTAGGCCCTAGTTCAACTCATTTTTTTTTTTAAATATGAATATATGATGCACAAACTTATTTTACTTTTAAAGAGTTTTTTTTTTTTTTTTTTTTTTTTTTTTTTTTTTTTTTTTTTTTTGAAGTAAACTTGTTTATGTAAGAAATTGTCTTAGGAAAAAAAATAAATAAATTATTTTGAACTTTTCTTACCATATAGTAAATTAGACAGCAAGAACTTACATGAAGTTATTATAGAGTTGGAAACACCTTTACTATGAGAGTATGATTATACTCATTTTAAGGAAGTCAACTAATTTAAGGACATGTTTGGATTGAGAAAAATGTATATATTATCGGGGTAATAAGAGTAAAATAACTAAGCAAAAATGAAAGTGAATATAAGGCAAGAGGAAATAGTAATGGTGTGATTGTAAAGAGAATTATGTAGTGATGGTGTGGTATGAGGTGAAAAAAGAGGAGCTAAGGGTTTGTTCTCTTCCGTTTAATTTCAATTCAATTTAGTTTCGTTCAGTTCAGCTCTAATAAGTACAGTTTAGTTCAGTTCCTAATTTCATTCTCTCATAAACAATTTATTTCAACTATATCCAACTCTAATCAGTTCAGTCCAATTCAGGTCAGTTTAGTTTAGCTCAATTCAGTAAATCAAAACAAACCCTAATACCCTCATTTTGGGGTTAATAGTTATATTAGGGGAAGGGTCCGGGTAATTATTATCCTCGTTATGAGGGTTCCATCTCTATCCTTTTTTCCTCATGGCACAACTATCTTATTTTATCTGTAAACACCTTGTCTCCTACAATAACACCTTTAACTACTCGTATTTTTCAAATTTGACTTTTATTACTCCCTTAATATATTACCCCAATCCGAACATGAGTGGTAAATTTTTGTACAATAAAGTTTTATTAAGTGTATAAAGTTTTCTTTGATGGTTGTTACTTGTTAACGCCTGAATAATCTCATGATCTACAACACAAAGTTTTCCTTCATACAATCATACTTATATAGTACTCAAAATATACGAAGTATATAAGGAGCTCCAAACACGCCATAAAATGGAGAACAAAGTTGATCAAAGAGAATTTTGGGCATCAAAAAATATAAAGAAAAGTTTGGAATCTTCTTTTTTCAGAGCGAACAATCACAATAGGACAAGCTGCAAAAACACTATACGAGGAAAACCAAGAGGAATAACATCTCCCTTGTCTTTTCACACTAAATGTCAAGCAATACTATCAATGCAATTTTTAATTAAGAATTGCCACTATTTATTTTTCAGTATAAAATTACTTCTTCATATACTTTGTTGGATCCTATTATATGTCTTTGTTTTACATGTAAAAGAAATGTGGACGGCCAAATCTGAAGAAATTGAAAATGACAATTCATTTATATTCATATTTTTTGATGTGTTTTTGATCAAATATAAATAATAATACTAATAAAGTAATAATGCAGAAAAATAGCAGGATAAATCAATAGTTGAGGGAGTAAGGGCTTGTTCTTAGCTCATTGACTGAAATGAGCTGAACTTAACTGAACTAAAATGAATATTTTATAAGAGAAGAAAATTAGGAGTTGAACTTAACTGAACTAAAATGAATATTTTATAAGAGAAGGAAATTAGGAGTTGAACTGAACTGAACTTATTAGAGCTGAACTGAAAATAATCATATGAGAACATGCCCTAAATATGTGCTTTTAATTGTCATATTTCTCTTAAACGAGGATATGCATGGAGAAGAATACATGTACTCGGCATGACAAAGTGATGAAATTTCTCTTTGGTATTTGCTTAAGTTTAATTAATTACAAGGATCTCTACATTGGTATCATGTGATTATTCATTAAACTAAAGCATGATTAATTATGCCATGTATCTTCTCTAAACTCAACACCTAAATACCTAATATCTTGTTTGCATGTGGTATAGCCAAA